GGTTGAAATCCAAACAGGAGAATCCATCTGTTGTCCAGTTGCTGGCACAAGAAGACACCTAAAATAAAATAAGAAGGACTGGCCTCCCACTTAGAGGTTAGCTAGGTCATAAAACACATGGTTTTAGAATGTCACGTATTCATAAATACAACAATACATACATCGATATGACGGACATATCACTGGAATGTTGTATTTTTATTCAACTTCACCAAAGAGGACAACCCCGGCGTGTGAACATGTCGGCACTGAATGCGTACGAGTGCTCCTGAGGACTCGTAGGATTTGTACTTGCCCAAGAGAAATTCTGGTTACGAGAAATATTCGTGAATGCCACTTTCTTCGTAAAAACCGCGTAAGTAGGATTTACGTACAAATCTGTTCCTAAGAACCGTTCGTGAATGAGGCCCAATGTCCCTGTAGTTCTGGAACAGTCTCAGTGAAGTGTTGCAGATGAACCGTTATTATAATAGATCCTTGAGATGAACAGATGAAAAAAGTCGAGCTGCTTTCTTCCTCCATCCATCCATCCATTTTCTTCCGCTTCATCCGTTGCCGGGTCGCGGGGGCAGCAGTCTAAGCAGAGACGCCCAGACTTCCCTATCCACACACACCTCCTCCAGCTCATCCGGGGGGACCCCAAGGCGTTCCCAGGCCAGCTGAGAGACATAGTCCCTCCAGCGTGTCCTGGGTCTTCCCCGGGGCCTCCTCCCGGTGGGACGTGCCCGGAACACCTCCCCAGGGAGGCGTCCAGGAGGCATCCGGAACAGATGCCCGAGCCACCTCAACTGGTTCCTTTCGACGTGGAGTAGCAGCGGCTCTACTCCGAGCTCCTCCCGTGTGACTGAGCTCCTCACCCTATCTCTAAGGGAGCGCCCAGCCACTCTGCGGAGGAAGCTCATTTCGACCGCTTGTATCCGCGATCTTGTTCTTTCGGTCATTACCCAAAGCTCATGACCATAGGTGAGGGAGGGAACGAAGATTGACCGGTAAATTGAGAGCTTTGCCTTTCGGCTCAGCTCCCTCTTCACCACAACGGTCCGATACAGCGACCGCATAACTGCGCACGCTGCACCGATCCGCCTGTCAATCTCACGCTCCATCCTCCCCTCACTCGTGAACAAGACCCCGAGATACTTGAACTCCTCCACTTGAGGAAGGGCCTCTCCACCCACCTGGAGAGGGCAAGGCACCTTTTTCCGGTCGAGCCCCATGGCCTCGGATTTGGAGGTGCTGATTCTCATCCCAGCCACTTCACACTCGGCTGCAAACCGTCCCAGTGCATGCTGCAGGTCCTGGTTCGTTGGAGCCAACAGGACAACATCGTCTGCAAACAGCAGAGATGAAATCCTGTGGTCCCCGAACCGGACCCCCTCCGACCCTTGGCTGCGCCTAGAAATTCTGTCCATGAATACAGTGAACAGAACCGGTGACAAAGGGCAGCCCTGGCGGAGGCCAACATGCACCGGGAACAGGTCTGACTTACTGCCGGCAATGCGAACACAGCTCTGGCTCCGGTCATACAGGGACCGAACGGCCCTCAGCAGAGGACCCCGGACCCCGTACTCACGGAGGACCCCCCAAAGGACACCCCGGGGAACACGGTCAAACGCCTTCTCCAAATCCACAAAGCACATGTGGACAGGTTGGGCAAACTCCCATGAACCCTCGAGTATCCGATGGAGAGTGTAGAGCTGGTCCAGTGTTCCACGGCCGGGACGAAAACCACACTGCTCCTCCTGGATCCGAGATTCGACCATCGGCTGTAACCTCCTCTCCAGTACCTTGGAGTAAACCTTACCAGGGAGGCTGAGGAGTGTGATCCCACGATAATTGGAACACACCCTCCGGTTCCCCTTCTTGTAGAGAGGGACCACCACCCCGGTCTGCCACTCCATTGGCACTGCCCCCGATCGCCACGCGATGTTGCAGAGACGTGTCAGCCAAGACAGTCCTACAACATCCATAAACTTTAGATAGTCAGGACGGATCTCATCCACTCCCGGTGCCTTGCCACCAAGGAGGCTGCCAACCACCTTGGTGACCTCTGCCAGGGTGTCAGAAGTATCCGCCCCAACATCCTCAGCCTCTACCTCCGGAGCAGAGGACGTGACGGGGGGATTGAGGAGACCCTCGAAGTATTCCTTCCACCGTCCGACAATATCCCCGGTCGAGGTCAGCAGCTCACCCCCCGCACCGTACACGGTGTTGGCAAAGAACTGCTTCCCCCTCCTGAGGCGCCAGACAGTTTGCCAGAATCTCTTCGAGGCCGACCGATAGTCACGCTCCATGGACTCTCCGAACTCCTCCCAGTGCCGGGTTTTTGCCTCTGCAACAGCCCGGGCCGCGGCACGCTTGGCCTGCCGGTACTGGACAGCTGCCTCAGGAGTCCCCCGAACCATCATGGCTCGATAGGACTCCTTCTTCAGCCTGACGGCATCCCTTACTGCTGGTGTCCACCACCGGGGTCGGGGGTTGCCGCCGGGACCAGCACCAGAGACCTTGCGACCACAGCTACGAGCCGCCGCATCGGCGATAGAGGAAGAGAACATGGTCCACTCAGACTCAATATCCCCCTCCTCCGCCGGGACCTGGGAGAAGCTCTCCCGGAGGTGTGAGTTGAAAGTCCGTCTGACAGGGGGCTCAGCGAGACGTTCCCAGCAGACCCTCACTATACGCTTGGGTCTGCCAGGTCTGACCGGCTTCCTCCCCTGCCAGCGGATCCAACTCACGACCAGGTGGTGATCGGTTGACAGCAGGGCTGGACTGGCCATCGGGCGTACCGGGCAATGCCCGAAGGGCCGATGCCCATATTTGGGCCGGTCTGTCTGCTTCATACAAAAAACATGTTTGTGAAAAGTGTAAATCCGTTGAGAAATGTTTGAGGGGAGCGCGCGTGTCCGCGGGGCACCTGCTGTATGTACTCGAACGGGATTCCACCACTTCAGCGGCCGCAGTGTTCCCGCATCCAGCGGCTCTGAGCTGGACGCAGGAACCGCTCACCGGGAGCCGCTCACAACACAACACGGTGAGCGCGTAGCCGCAACGTGACCATGTACCCAAGACCATAAACGCGCACAGGACCATGCGTGTCTTTTTGTAATTTGTGCACCCAATAAATACACCGCTGCAGAAAACAGTCCGCGTCTCCCCTCTCCTCTAAATTAAAGCTCGGGTACCTAAATTTTCCATTGCATTAAAAGTTCATGTTTGAGCCCAAAAGTAAAATGTTGTGAACAGATTAAACAGATTTAGAGCCAGCTAATGACTGACAATATGCATTTCAGAAATGTTTACCAATTCTCATCCCTGTAACAAACAATAGTATTGTCTGTGCCCACCTCCCTCACTCTGAGACATGTTTATTACTCTGTTTAATGTAGACTATTGTACTTTATTTTATTGATGAAACTGCAGACATCCTGATCCTCTGCAGTATTTGCTTCCACATACTGTATAAACCAGGGGTCGGCAACCTTTAGTGCCCCTAAAGTGGCTCCTGGAGCCTTTTCAAAAATGTCTGAAGTGTGAGGGCTATATTTTATTTCTAGTTTCAATGTGGTTTCTGTAGGAGGAAAAACATTCTTGAGGTTTTTCAATGCTGCAAAAACTTGTATAAGTAATATTAAATTTTAGCATTTCTGTCAACGTAGTGCGTCATATCCTGTGACGCGGCCCCGCGCCAGGCGGCCGCTGCTGTAAACAAACCGGCGTGTGTGCATTATAGACTGTGTGTGCGCATGGATTCCAAAGATAAAGAGAGAGAGTCGATAAGACTGGACTAAGAATGAGAATGAACTTTTGCTTTCAGTCAATGAGGAAGGACTGCTTCATGTTTGTAATGAAAAGTTTTGTTGCAACAGGAGGAACAATGAAGCTTTAAACACTGTTCACTGAAAGATTCATTCATCATAAAGTCAGAGCACCTATTTTCAGACTTCAAAAACCTCCACAGAGACGGTGAAAGAAAAGGCCATTAAGGACATTCAGCTCCAGCAAACTTCAGCCTGTGATCGATATGAACAGACAGTGATGCAGGTGAACTCGGAGCCAAAAAGCAGATTTATTTACTGTATTTGTACAATTGCATGAAGGCAAAAAAATTGAAGTTAAACTTAAAGCAGAGTTGTCACGTGGTGCGTCATTCTCTCCAGGACACGCTGCAATGAAAATACACATTTGATAATCATGAATGGTTTTTATGTGTTTAGCCTTTACTTTGTCATTTAGATATTAGTCTAATATAGCTAATATAGCTTATGTAGCTAAGGTAACTAATGTAGCTAATGTAGCTAATACAGCTTCAGCCCCTGTTACCTTCATATAAGCCTTATACAACGCTGTTATTTTTTTTTTTTTTTGTCAAATATGGCTCATTGAACCTTTTGAGTTGCCTGGGCCGCTAAAAAGGAAAAAATGCCCGGGCCGTTTTTTTGTCCCAGTCCAGCCCTGGTTGACAGCTCCGCCCCTCTCTCCCCCCTGGACTGCCACCTTAACGTGGTGGGGGAGTTTGAGTACTCGGGTGATCCCGGTGCTTTCTTCCTCTTCGGGCCAAATAGTGCGTCACATATTTACACCCAAAACACATTTTATCCAAGTTGACGTGATCCTAACACTTATAGTCGCTGACAAAAACAAAAAGACAGTAGCTCTATGTGGTGTCCACGAGACCAAACCACAGACGCTGGACTCAGGAGCCGGACTTGGGAACTGGCTGTGTGCTCTGATTCGCTGTTTCGATCTGTCAATCAACTCCCGCCTGTCATGTACTGAGGATGACGTCAGCACGTCATACGTTATTCCCCTGGACCCTGTGTAGTAGGGATGTAAGGTGCGCTCTTCTACGTTGACCAGCATGAAGTAAAGCCACGGAAAACTATGCTCCGGTGTGTGTCTGATTTAATTCGATTACACAAAGTCAAAGTGTAACATTGGCGACGAGGATAATAATCGACTTCGTATAGTTAAATCTGAAAGTGAGATTAGTCCGTATCTTCGAGATGGAGGACAAATCATCCGTGCCGAAGTTTGATTGCTACAAGGAGCCAGCTACGCTAGGTCCTCGCTGGACCAGGTGGCTAACGGCGTTTGAACTGTTTGCTGACGGGAAAGGTTTAATCTTGGACGCAAGGGTCACCGACAACACAAAGATTCGGAGACGTGCTTTACTCCTACATCACGCCGGGACGGATGTGCAGGATATTTTTTCCACTTTGGACGACACTGGAGGTTCGTCGGACTATGACAAGGCTGTGAAGGCGCTAAACGACTACTTCGTACCAAAGGTGAACAATGCATTTGCGCGCCAAACTTTCTACCAACTGTCACAGAATGCAGGGGAGACTGTACAGCAGTTTGTAACCCGTTTACGCCGGACGGCAAAAGACTGTGCATTTGTGGGCGACTTGTCTAACCAGCTCAGGGATGCTGTGCTAAGTAAATGCTCGTCGGAGTATGTGCGGAGGAAACTGCTCGAGGAGGGCTCGGAGTTAGTCCTCGACAAAGCACTAGAGATCGCGGCACAGTGTGAGAGGGTGGAGGAACAGATGGCGGCAATGCGAGTGAACGACACAGACATCAAAGGCGCCGAGGCGGTGAACCAAATCTCGAAGGGGAGAGGAGAGCGGGGCAAATTCCGAAAACGCGAGGGAGAGGAGAAAGGCAAAGTCTGCTTCAGGTGTGGACATGGCGACCACTTCGCGAAAGACCAGAAATGCCCAGCTCGCGGACAAACCTGCAGACAGTGCAACGGCAAGGACCACTACGCCAAGATGTGCAAGTCAAAAGGTAGTAGGGGGTCAGTGAAGTATGTAGATGAAAAGCAGGAAAAAGATTTTGCGTTTGTTGTGCGTGACAATAGCAACACAGATAGCCTGACATTTAATGTGGGTGGCGTGGACCTAGTAATGTTGATTGATTCAGGGGCCACGACCAACATAGTTGATGAAAATACATGGGAAAGGCTGAAGAAAAAGAAAATTAATTGTGAGTCAGCCAAATCCGACAAGAAATTGTACACATATTCCTCAAAGGAGCCACTGCCGGTAAAGGGAGTGTTCACATGTGATGTGAAGATAGGCAAAAGAGCGACACAAGCAGAGTTCACAGTGATCGCAGGTCAGGGTGTACCGCTACTTGGCAGGCAGACAGCTACAGAGCTAGGAGTGCTAAGGGTGGGTGTAGATGTTGCAGCAGTCACCGATGTTAAGACAGAGGTGCAAGGAAAATACCCAAAGTTATTCACAGGGGTGGGTAAGCTTAACACTAAGCAAGTTAGACTGCACATCGACGGCAACGTGGAGCCCGTAGCACAGCCGCTGAGACGGGTACCATTCCACCTGCGGGAGGCGGTCGATAGGAAGATCGAGGAGCTGCTACGAATGGACATCATCGAGAAAGTGGAGGGTCCAACGCCATGGGTGAACCCTGTCGTAGTGGTGCCGAAGGCAAAGGACAAAGACATTCGCTTATGCCTGGACATGAGAATGGCAAACAGGGCAATCATCCGGGGCAGATACCCGATCCCGACCGTTGATGAACTGTTGCATGACATGAACGGGTCAGCTGTGTTCAGTAAGCTCGACCTGCGGTGGGGCTACCACCAGCTGGAGCTCACTGAGGAGTCAAGGGCGATCACAACATTCGCCGTACACAGCGGAACATACCGCTACAAGAGACTCATATTCGGGGTCTCGTCTGCGAGTGAGCAGTATCAGCACGAGGTGGCATCGGCGCTGACAGGCATCGAGGGAGTGGCCAACATCTCCGATGACATCATCGTCCATGCACCTGACCACGACACGCATCGCCAGCGACTACATGCAGTGCTGGAGAGGCTGGAGAAGTGCGGCTTAACCCTGAACGGTGAGAAGTGTCAATTTGAGATGGACAAATTAGTGTTCATGGGCATCTTACTGACTGAAAAGGGAGTAGGGCCTACCAGTGAGCGAGTCAGAGCCCTGGAGGAGGCGCGTGAGCCAGAGAACGCATCAGAGGTACGCAGCTTTCTGGGTCTAGCTGGGTACAGCAGCCGTTTCATACCCCAGTTTGCGACCATCTCAGAGCCGCTGCGGAGGCTGACAAAGAAAGAGGTACCGTTCGTCTTCGGGCCAGAGCAACAGGTGGCGTTCGAGACACTGAAACTGAAATTGGCAGAGGCGGGAACGCTGGCATACTTTCACAAAGATGCCCCCACCAAAGTGATAGCTGACGCAGGCCCGGTGGGCATAGGGGCAGTTCTAATCCAAGAGCAACAGGGTGCTATGGTGCCTATATGTTATGTAAGCAGGAGCCTGACAGACTGTGAAACGAGATACTCGCAGACGGAGAAAGAGGCCCTGGCACTGGTGTGGGCATGCGAGCGTCTACACCCATACATATACGGCAAGAGGTTCGACTTAGTGACTGATCACAAAGCCCTACAGGTGATCTACAGCCCCAAGTCCAAGCCATGCGCTAGGATCGAGCGCTGGGGTGCTCCGCCTGCAGCCATACGACTTTCGAGTCGTGCACATCGCGGGAAAGTTCAACATAGCAGATCCCCTGTCACGTCTGCTGGGGAAAAGCGCTAAGAGCACGCCACATCATCATGGAGCAGAAGAATACGTGCGCTTCGTGGCGGTGCAGGCTACACCGCGGGCACTTACCACAAGGGAGGTGGAGAGAGCATCCGCGGAGGACAAAGAACTGGATGAGGTGAGAAAAGCGATCAAGACAGGCCGTTTTGAAAAGTGCTCAGCTTATGGCCGCATAGCGAATGAACTGTGTACTATTGGACAATTAGTGCTGAGGGGGACACGGATTGTGCTTCCACAGTCACTGCGCAGCAGAGCTTTAATCTTAGCTCACGAGGGACACTTAGGCATGGTAGGGATGAAGCAGCATCTGAGGGGGAAAGTGTGGTGGCCGGGGATGTATAAGGCAACAGAAAAATATGTGAAGGCCTGTGATGGATGCAAACTAGAGGCACGTCCTGATGTACCCGAGCCATTGCGGCCCACTGCTCTCCCTGACGGGCCTTGGCAAGACCTTGCCACAGACTTATTAGGTCCCTTACCTACAGGACATTCAATCCTGGTAGTAGTAGACTACTACAGTCGGTACTATGAGTACGAGATCATGCGTTCCACTACAGCAGAGAAAGTGATTGACAGTCTGGAGAACATCTTCAGTCGCCATGGTCTACCAGTCTCCATCCGATCTGACTGTGGGCCAGTTTCTGTCAACACAGTTCCAGGACTTCTGCAAGGAGAACGGCATACAACACGTCAAGACGACACCGAAATGGGCACAGGCGAATGGAGAGGTCGAGAGGCAGAATGCCTCCATCATGAAAAGAATTCGCATCGCGCACGCAGAGGGGCTGGACTGGCAGAAGGAGCTACGAAAGTACGTCACCGTCTACAGGTCGATCGAGCACTCAACCACGGGCAGGAGCCCTGCTGAACTCCTGTTCAACCGGAAGCTCCGGGGAAAGCTGCCAGACATCAGCACGCCGAGAATCGACATCGAGGCACGGGACACAGATGCTGAGAACAAGGGCAAGTATGCAGAGTATGCAGACCAGCGGCGCGGCGCGAAACCATCACCGGTGCAGGTGGGAGATGAAATTCTGTTGAAACAGGACAAGGTTAACAAATTCACCACAACATTTAATCACACACCACACACTGTAGTGAGTAAGAATGGTAATAATGTTGTAGTTGAGTCACCCAGTGGAGCTCAGTACTCCAGAAATACCACACATGTTAAGGTGTACACACCAGCAGAGCAGACAACCTCACCTGGCGAGAGTGAGGCACCGAAAGAGAGAGAGACTCATGCAGAACCGTCTGTGAGGTCCACACCAGAGACACTCACTCAGGGGTCATCTCCAAGCCGACCTCTGACCACACCGACTGAGCGGCCTCGCAGAGAAATAAAGCAGCCGGAGAGATTCACGGACTTCATTATGAAGTGATGAATGTATTTAAAAAAAAAAAAAAAGAATATTCATGTTCAATGAAAGTGAATTCTATGCTGTTGGGATATGAATGTTTACATTTTTGAATATGTTCAGCAATTGATATTGAATGCATAATGTCTGAAGCAGAAATGGTTCTATGAGTTGAAGGAACAAAAAGGTTATTCTGAGAATGTTTCGGAAGAAAGGTTTATTTTGAAAATGTTAATGGTGTTAAGAGTGTTAAATTGTTATTGATACATTGGGTAAAGTTTTAATCCAAGAAAGGAGGGGATGTCATGTACTGAGGATGACGTCAGCACGTCATACGTTATTCCCCTGGACCCTGTGTAGTAGGGATGTAAGGTGCGCTCTTCTACGTTGACCAGCATGAAGTAAAGCCACGGAAAACTATGCTCCGGTGTGTGTCTGATTTAATTCGATTACACAAAGTCAAAGTGTAACACCGCCGGCTTTTACAATTATTTTTATTTTTATTATTTTTGACAACAAACAGCATAATCATTGTGTATTGCTTACCCCGTTTTAACAAAAGTATTTAAAGACCATTTTTAATATAAAGCAAACGGACTCGTCATATTGGTCGTCACTGAAGTGGACCTGAGCGTTTCTGTGCCTCTCGAGGCTGAAGGAGACAGACTCTTACTAAGGATTGACAGAATCAATTAAAAAACTACTCTGGGCATGTGTATGAGACCAAATAGCACTGTAATCATGTTAAAAACTGAAAAGTCCAAAAGCGTAATATGGGCCCTTTAATGTGTTATACAGTGTGTTAGCATTGTCCATCTGTACAGTCTTTGCTGAGGTCGTAGGGCACGTGTGGACAGTAAAGTCCTTAAGTAGCGCCCCCTACTGCTCATGCTCCCAAATGTCTTCTTTCATTTATGTCCATTTTAGTTGTTCCAGGAGTCCAGTCCAGTTCAGTCCAGTCCAGCATAGTCCAGTCCAGGAGAGCGTTCATAAATCTATTTCTGTTTCTTTCATGTGAAAAACAAACAAACAGAGACGTGTGCAGATGTGTTGAAGCCACAGGCCTCTTCCTCCCATTCTCCACAGACTCACACTGACTTGGTCCCTCTCCGGTCTCTATCTGGTCCCTCTCCGGTCTCTATCTGGTCTCTCTCCGGTCTCTATCTGGTCTCTTTGGTCTCTATCTGGTCGGTCTCTCTGGTCTCTCTCTCTTTGGTCTCATAATGATTGTAGAAACAGACTAAATTATCGTAAGTCCGTAACGTGTCCACGAGAGGGCGACCCCTGCGGCTCTGGAAGCAGAGCCCAAAGAGCCAGATAGTGACCACTGCAGCTCCAGCAGAGATCAGTCTGTTTGAAGATCTCACAGGAAATCCACGGGTTTTTCCCTCGTGCGGCAGGACGCGGTCCAGACACCTGCTCTAGACCAGAATAGGAGTGAATCAGGACTGAATCAGGACTGAACCCGGTCGGCACAAAGGAGTATACGGAGTTCCCAAACTTGGTGAGATATATTTTGACATATTTGATGTTACATGTTTGTGCTCTAAGACTAAAGTTACAGACCCCAGCTTTAAACATGTGTTATTTAAGAGACTAAAGTTACAGACCCCAGCTTTAAACATGTGTTATTTATGAGACTAAAGTTACAGACCCCAGCTTTAAACACGTGTTATTTATGAGACTAAAGTTACAGACCCCAGCTTTAAACACGTGTTATTTAAGAGACTAAAGTTACAGACCCCAGCTTTAACCATGTGTCATTTATGAGACTAAAGTTACAGACCCCAGCTTTAAACACGTGTTATTTAAGAGACTAAAGTTACAGACCCCAGCTTTAAACATGTGTTATTTACTAGATTAAGTGAGAGTAAGTCTTCTCATTGTTGTTAGCCATGCTTCTAAGTTATATTACGTGGTTAGCAGTAAATGCAGCCAGGACAGAATGTTTTAATGTTTCATAGACAAAAATGAAACATTCCAAATATGACAAATATGAGCGACAGTAGCTCAGTTGGTAGAGCATTGGCCTTTGAGCCTGAAGGTCGTGGGTTCAAGCCCACCGTAAGACCTACTTCACGACTCCCACTGATGACTGCTGTCGTTGTGTCCTTAGGCAAGACACTTAACCCTACTTCGCCTGAAGCTCCCACTGAAAGATCTCAGCTCCTGTGGACTCACCACCTGCAGGAGGATCAGTGAGGGGCTGGTGCTCTGAGTACTGGGTGGCATCTCTGGCCACCCCCCCGACCCAGAAATGGATTAAGGGGAAGAAAATGGATGGATGGATGGATAGACAAATATCAAAGTGAATGAATCTTTACTTTTGCTTTAAACTTAAGTGTTTTAATCTAAACGTGTCATGACGTCACAGGTCCAGCAGGGGGCAGTGATGTCACACTCTCAGTGGAACTCCTCTGTTCTTCTCTCAAACCTGTCTCACACCAGCGTCTTCACAGAACAGGTCTGTGTGAACCGGACTAAACTAGACCAAATTGGACCAAACTGAACTAAACTCCTCCCCCCTCTTTTTCTCTGACCCGCCCCCCACTGGTCCCCTCCCTCTCTGACTCTCTTTCTACCCCCCGCAGGTCCTCCCCCCCCTGTACCTCTCCCTCCTCACCGTTGGCCTCCCCCTGAACGCACTGGCCTCCCTGGTGTTCTGCAGAGTGCGCTCTGAAGCCGCCCTGGTGGTGTACCTGAAGAACATGCTGCTGTCTGACGTCATGATGATGTCATGCTTCCCCTTCAGACTCATGGCTCAGAGGGGGGTGGGGGGATGGAGAATTCATGTCCTCATCTGCAGGTAAGACCAGGACCAGGACTAGGACAGATTAGATACAGGTTCAGTGTTTTTGCTGTAAAACCAAACTAGAATAACTGTACAAAGTGTGCAGATCATCTCGGTGCCATGAGCCTCAAGAGGGGGTTATGGGTCGGGTGGGACCAAGCCCTGGTGATCCAAGATGGCGGCCTGGCCAGATCAGTGGCTTGTGCTCAGTGGTGTCCCACTGTGGGCACCGAAAGATTAGCTGAACTTGCCCATATTTGGTCATTCCTCTGGTCCTCCCGGTTCTGCACAGTGAATGAGCTCCCATGATGCTCTGCTCAAAATACGAACGTGCATCAGAGCGAAGTCAGAGCGGGAGGAAAACCAGCAGTTTGTTGCACTAAAGTGTGGATTATAAAAAACTGAAGGATTTAAAAAGAACAAAAGTTCAGGACGTCAAGGGACACTAGAATCCCCACAGAGTACTCCTTTGTGAAAGCTGTAGGTTCTCTGTCATCTGAGGTCCAGCTGTTTTAGTTTACATGGAGTTATGGGAGATTTTTCTGGGTAACATGAATTTAGTCTGCAGTACCGCGGGTGGCCCCCACGGCAGGACCAACTGGACCAAATCAGGACCAGTTCAGACTAACCTCCCTCTCTTAGGTTTGTTGCTGTGGTGTTTTACTCGTCGATGTACACAAGCATCATGTTCATGGGACTCATCAGTTTGGAAAGATACATGAAGATCGTCCTCCAGACAAATACGTAAGTACTACTACTGCTACTGCTGATGCAACTGCCTCTTCTACTGCTGCTACTGCTACTAATACTGCTGATAGTTACTCCACCTACATCTGTCTCTCTCAGGGCGTGGCTGGTTCACTTCCTGCAGTCCCCTGGCTCCGCCCACATGGTTGCCATGGCGGTGTGGACTCTGATGCTTCTGAGCGCGCTCCCGAACGTGTTGCTAACAAACCGTGAAGCTAACGAGGCTAACGCACGCCGCTGCATGGAGCTGAAGAGTGAGCTGGGAGTACACTGGCACCAGGTCTGAGTACTGTGAGAAGCACATAAAGTACACACAAAAATATACACATTACTATAGATTGTACACAGGTGGACAATGCTAGCATCCTCTAGCTCAATGAAGCCCAACAGGGAACCGTTTATGTCACACTCGCCGTTCTGGGCTCAAAAATCTGTGGTTTAGCGCATGTTACTGAGCAAGAGGAGTTTACTTTTACATAGAAGTCAATAGGAGCTAAAGTTCACCGTGAGCACTTCCCTGTTGGCTTCATTGAGCTAGCACGTTAGCATTGTGTATTAAAAGGTAGACAAAGAATCCCACTTTGTCTCAAAGAAAAAGACAAAAATAATGTGTAAAACTTTATAAAACTGTCCAAAGATCAGCACAAATACATGTGAACAGAGGCCCTGCTTCCACTCTACTCTACTCTACTCTACTCTACTCTACTCTACTCTACTCTACGACCAGTGGACTCTCTGATTGAGAGTCCACTGGTCTTGTTTAACTGGTAATAGGTTTTATTCAGGCCCAAGCTGGTAATAGTGTTCTTCCAGAGCCTTGCCGAGCCGAGCCTTGCTGAGCCGAGCAGAGCCGAGCCGAGCAGAGCGCTATAACCACAGACAAAAGACTGACATGCAGCTTGTCTTTAGGAAATACATAATAATAACAACTCGTGAATCCATATTTGCTGATGTGAGTCTCTCTCTGCTCAGGTCTCCACTCTCTTCTCTGTGGCCATGTTCTGGCTGACCCTGGTTGTCATGACGACCTGTTACATTGCGATTGCGGTGAAAGTGTGGCGTTCGTCTCGCCGCTCAGGCTCCAGCTCCGGCGCACGTCGCAGATCGTCACGCAGCATCGTCAGCCTCCTCCTCGTCTTCTGCATCTGCTTCATCCCCTACCACCTCTGCAGAGTACCATACACACTGAGCCAGATGCCCTGGAGCCAGGCCTCCGCCAGCACCAGGTCTGTTTTAGTCTCTCCAGTCTCTCTCTGGTCTCTGCTCTCTCCCAGGTCTTTCTCTGGTCTCAAACACGGCTCCCCTTCTGGTTCCTCAGATGGTTCCTGTACCAGCTGAAGGAGGTCTCGCTGGTCCTCTCCTCCTGTAATGTGTGTCTGGATCCTCTGGTCTACTTTCTCATGTGTCGTTCCTTCAGACGATCTCTGGTCCAGACCTTGACATCCATCTTCTCCAGGGGAACCCACGAGAGAAGGAGATCTGTCAGCACCGGAACCAGGACTGAACCAGGACTGAACCAAGACCAGGAATGAACCAGGACTGAACCAAGACTAGGACTGAACCAGGACTGATACCAGGACTGATCCAGGCCTGAACCAGAACCTCTCTCTCTCTCTTAACAGAAATGTTTTATTCTGAATGTATAGAATTAAAGAAAATGACAAAATAATGTGTTTCTTTGTTGATTATCATGAACCACATACGCTCCTGGGGACAGTTTTCACGTTCTCCCTGTGTCTGTACCTGTTGATACGGTTGTTGATTTCACTACGGTAACTTTTGGGTCAGTGGTCTCATTGGTGTCTGACTGGGGATTTACACGTCATTCACAGCGCGATGCTTTGGCCGGACGCAGGTACGTGGCTGCTGTCCCTGTGTGGTCTCTGAAGTAAGAGGAGAGTACGGGCCAGAGAACTGATGTAGAGCAACAAAAATCACATGTATGTGTTTGTCCTCATGGTCTCTGTGAGCTGCTGTGGCCAGACGCAAGACTGATAAAAGAAGAAGAAAACATTTCCAGAATCCCTGAAACCTGCTCACTCCTCTTAATGTTTAGATACAAGTGCTATATGTGTATGGCTGTGATCTAGAGCCAAAGACCGCAAGAAAAATCATGTTTTCCATGAGTTTAGAGTGGAGACGCGTTACTGCGCGCACACAAAATTAGAAATCCATCCTAATTTTGACGAAGCCTCGCGTAAATACGTACGTCATACGCGCGTAACACTAGTAGTGTGAATATCACCATAGGTTAAAATGGAAAGATGTTACGCGCGTATGCTGCGCTTACAACACTTTTTGACGTGCTGTAACGCCTCCTGTGTAAATTAGCAGTCAGGTCTTTGGTTTCTCTCTCTCTCTGGTCTCAGGGATCACAGGGTAAGTGTGTACTGTACTGTGATAGGCTATGAGGCAGCGCACGTGCAGTGGGGGCCCCTGGGTTTGGCCCCTACTCTCACACAGACCTCAAACCCAGACCCGACCCATTCCAGACCAAATCCAGACCAGAGGACCATGGACCGGATCGCGCTTCTCTCCGCGTGGGTTCTTGTCCTCGCGCTCCTCTGTGATGCACCGGGAACCAGCGATGGCAAAGGCACGCATGCGCAGGGGACCGGGTCAGTATGTGGGCTTCACACACGGGACAACTGTGATTATGATGGAGGGTAGAGAGACCAGAGAGAGACTATATAGAGAGAGAGACACCAGAGAGCGACACCACAGAGAAGAGACCAGAGAAGAGAGAGAGAGACCTTTTATTCATCACTTGGATTCTGTATTGATTGATATTTGTTTTCCTTAAAGAATAAATCTATTCTAATCTAGTTTTTCAGAACAGCCTGTTATGCATTCCAAAGATTCCAAGTCTTCAGAATCCACTTTAAAGCTGTGGTACGTGACTGAATAAACTTGGCAGAGCACTGAGACAAATGCAGAAGAAAATAGATTATGAGAAAAGATCCCCAGAATCCTCCTGCTCCTCATATTGTGCAGCAGAAGGAGAGTTGCTGCACAATATGAAAGTTTCATGAGAGACTGGCAGAGACCAGAGAGTTTCCAGTCTGATCCTCTGCTTTTGCTTCATAGTCCTCATACACATAACACCACTACAAAGTGAGTGTTACTTAAAGTTAACATCGAAAATACGTGAACATGAGAAACCCTGAGGACCATGAAACTCAGAACCATCAGAGATCGAAGGTTCTGGTTCTTTATGATCGTGGTGATTTTGAGCAGTCGCTGTGAGTCCAGACACAAAAAGACCATTCACTGTAAGTAATGAGAAAATCCCCCAGGTCCAAGCCCAGAGACAGACCAGAGAGAGACTAGAGGGACCAGAGAGAGGGACCAGAGAGAGACTAGAGGGAGACAAGCGAGACCCCAGAGGGGACTAAAACAAGGGCCAAATGTAAACAGAACTGGACTAAAACAATGGGTTAGAAGATTGAATCAGTGTGTGTGTGTGTGTGTGTGTTTTCCAGGATGAATGTGTGCGATGGTCGCTGCTGTGACGGCTGGAGCTGGTCCCTGAGAACCAGAGGATGCAGTAAGCGTAAGTCCAAAACCAGTGTCTCTCTCTGGTCCAGAGAACCAGAGAGGATCTGGTCTTTCTCCACATATAACTAGAGGCATGGGTTTATTACAGAGTTTTATTGATGTGGTTTTAAAATTACCTCAGCTTGGGTTGTGTACGTGTGTGTGTGTCTCTGTATTTGTGTATGTGTTTTTGAGTGTGATATTAGGACTGCTAATAGTCTTTCTGAAGATAATCTTCCATTGTTTGTTGACCTCAGCTTCAGGCCATGTTCCTCTGGATTAAGACTTTAAGATTTGGGTCAAATTCTCCAGGACTGAGGCTGTAGATCCAGGACTGAGGCTGTAGATCCAGGACTGAGGCTGTAGATCCAGGACTGAGGCTGTAGATCCTATTGTTGTTGTCTTCAGCTCGGTGTTTTCCTCGGTGCCTAAACGCCGGCATGTGCCGCGCTCCAAACCGTTGTGTGTGTGGCCCGGTTTTTACGGCAAACGCTGCCAGGTCTCCACGGTGACGGTGCTGTATGCAGCAACGTCCAATCAGAACTCAGAGGTCGGCGAGGTCATCAGGAACAAGGACAACAGGCCACGGTCAGTGAGGAACTAAGTACTAATACTGCAGTAGAAAAGTACATGTCTCCACCTACTATACTCTACTCTACCTTGTACTGTATCCTAGCAACCTACCCACAACAAAACAGTGTGTGGGGAAATTCCTTGGTAACCATGGCTTCCACTGTCAGTTATAACATTTTAGTACCAGCTCAGCCTGAATAGAACCAGGACCAAGAGGGACTTAAGAAGGACCTGGTACTGGTCACACAGGATCAGTGGAAACACTCCCAATCATGGGAGAGTAGAGTAGGGTACACTAGGGTAGGGTAGAGTAGGAGAAGTTTGAACTGTGATTTTGTGAATGAAAACCAGTGTGGTGTTTTCTCAGGGCAGATGAGAACCAAAAGACCCAGCTCCAGAGAGACCAGAATCCACCTACTTCTGCTGGTGTTACTGCTGCTGATGATGATGTTACTGCTGCTGCTTTGGATCCAGAAGGTTCTGATGAGAGAGCATCATCTGTAAAGAGGAGCAGAGCAGTGCTGAGGTAAGCTGCTCTAGGTCTGCTGTTGACCAGGAACTATGGAGAGAGACCAGAGAGAGACCAGAGAGACTAGAGAGACTAGAAAGAGACCAGAGCCAGGAACTAGTTATGTGGATTTTCTTACTGGGTTCTATTGTTGTGGTCTGAAAGTTACATAAATGAATGCTGAGTTACTCCTGTCTCGTCCGGCAAATGTTTGTTTCACCTCCCACCTGTGGGTCTCTGTCGCAGTGTGAAATGTTGCGTTGTCATATGAAGAGGCAGTTTATGGTTTGTTTGGTCAATAGTGAGGTTAGTTCGGGGACCAGATGTGGGAGTCTAAACCAGGGTTGAGGCTGTAGACCTAGACCCAGACCCACAACTGAGGCTGTAGACCCAGGACTGAGAGTGTAGACCCAGGACGGAGGGAGTAGATCCAGGACTCTGTGAGTATGGTCCTGTTCTGTCCACTAGAGGGCGCTGCTAAACTATGTTTATTTCTACAGAGACTCTACAGAGAACACATCTGAACAATGATAAAACCATTCAAAACATCGATGTTATGTTTATACTATTTAAAAACAAAATGGTTTTAGTGAGAGAGACCAGAGAGAGACCAGAGAGACCAGAGAGAGACCAGAGAGATAGACTAGAGCAGGCATGTCCAAACTCAGGCCCGCGGGCCATTTGCGGCCCTCTGTGCCTTTTTATGCTTCTACTGCTAACACAGCAAAGATTTTATAAAAGACTTTACTGAGTTCGTTTCTTTTAGTCTGGTGCGCTATGACAGGATTTTAATTGTCGGAGATTTTAATATACACGTTTGTTGTCCGTCTAAGCCCATGGCCAGAGACTTTTTGGACTTGATTGAAGCTTTTAATTTGACACAGCATGTTACTGTCCCCACACAGGTTCACGGTCATATTTTAGACCTTGTACTGTCTTATAGTTTTACTGTTGACAAACTTGTTGTTGGTAATGCTGTGTTTTCTGATCACAGTCCTGTTATGTTCAGTTTAAGTCTGTACCCTGACGTAAAGCCACCTGCTGTGCGTCATGGGCGTGTTATTAAGTCTGACACTGCAGCCGCCTTTTCTCTGTTCACTGTGTCACCACAGAGTTTTTCCCACTCTGTTGTATCCCCCAGACACTGAACAATGAATGTGCTCTTTTATGTCCACATGCTCTAGGATCCTGGACAGTATAGCGCCGGTTAGAGCTATTTGTCCAAAACAAAAACAGGAGCCTTGGCTCAATGACACCACGCAGGCAGCTCGGCGTGAGTGGCGGAGGGCGGAGCGTAGGTGGAATAGGGATCACTTGGAGGTTTCTTACCAAATTCTTATAGAAAAGTGCCGGGACTACCAAAGTGTGGTTAAAGCTGAGAAAACAAACTATCTTTCAGACTTGATTGCAAATAGCATCAGTAAGCCACGTACTCTTTTTAAAACTATTAGTTCTGTTTTTAATCCGAATCCAGCCACTTCACTGGAGATAACTAATGAAACGTGTGAACGATTTGTCTCCTTTTTTAATGACAAGGTTGCTTCTATTCGAGCCAATCTAGCTCCTTCATCATTGAGTTTTAACATGGCTACTCGATGTTCTGCCGTTTTTAGTCAGTGTCCATGTCTGTGTTGACTGAGATGATGAGCAAACTCAAACCTTCGTCCTGTCCCACGGACCCAGTCCCTCCTCGCTTTTTTAAAGAGGTTTGGGGCACTATTGGCTCTTCTGTGAGGGACATCATCAACAGCAGCTTGCTAACTGGCAATGTGCCTTCCTTTTGTAAAAGCGCTGTTGTTGAGCCTTTGATAAAAAAAGCAGGTCTTGATCCCATGGTTTCATCAAATTATCGCCCCATTTCAAAACAACCCTTTGTTTCAAAGCAAAGGAAGGTTTCTCACCCATCATCTATACTTCTTAGCAAGTTTTCCCGACGTTTCGTCTTCAAACTAGCGGACTTCTTCAGGGAATGAAGCATGATTGATTGAATGATTGAGCATCCCAGCAGACAATAGGTCTGTGACATGCTAATGAGTTAGGGTCGTTAGCCTCAGCAGGGTCGTTAGACCTGCTCCCTTCTACATCAAGCAGACCTTAGATTGTTTATGAGTTAGTATCAGGATTAGGGTGTGGCTAACCACACCCATAGGTTATAAATCTCCAACGCGCGGTCCGAGAATTCATTCCCTGAAGAAGTCCGCTAGTTTGAGGACGAAACGTTGGGAAAACTTGCTAAGAAGTACAGATGATGGGTGAGAAACCTTCCTTTGCTTTGACTAATCCCTGTACGACTGAGGGCTTACACAAACCCTTTGTTTCGAAAATATTGGAGAAATGTGTTTTGGCACAACTGCAACCTTTTTTAAATGAAAACAGCACGTTAGACCCATTTCAGTCTGGATACAAAGCTTTGCACAGTACTGAATCTGCACTTTTAAAGGCTTTTAATGATTTGCTTTTATTGACTGATTCTTACTGCTGCTTTTGACACTGTTGACCACACAATTCTTTTAGACCGCCTGAGAGATTGTGTGGGCGTCAGGGGGACTGCTTTGGAGTGGTTCAGGTCCTACCTGTCAGAGAGGTCTTTCTCAGTCAGGCTGGGGGATGCCACATCTTCTTCTGCTTCACTTTATTGTGGTGTCCCTCAAGAATCTATCTTGGGACCTAGCCTTTTTGCACTCTATCTCCTCCCACTTGGGGAGATTTTTAACAGACACGGAGTGTCCTATCACTTTTATGCAGATGACTGCCACATTTATATGCCAATTTCGAGAGGCCATGCCCCCCTGACGCCCCTGCTCAACTGTCTATGTGACGTCAAGGCTTGGTTAGCCCAGAATTTTTTAGTAATGAATGAGGGAAAAACGGAAATTTTAACATTTGGACCGGCCCTTACTGACTTGGGACCACTAGGAAATTATGTGCGTTCCATAGTCACCAGCTTTGGCGTCACTATAGACAGTGAGTTTAAATTTGAAAAACAAGTCAATGGCGTTTTAAAATCGTGTTTTTATCATCTTTGGCTTTTATCAAAAGGGAAGCCATTCTCATCTTTTAACTTGTTAGAACAGGTTGTGCATGCTTTTATTTCCAGTCGTCTGGACTACTGCAACGCACTTTATGCTGGTGTCAATCAGAAAACCCTCTCCCGGTTGCAGTTGGTCCAGAACGCAGCAGCACGACTTTTAACGGGGGCCAGAAAGCGCGAACACATCACCCCTGTACTCGCGTCTTTGCACTGGCTCCCTGTTCATTTTAGAATGGATTTTAAAATGTTACTGTTTGTTTTTAAATCTTTGCATGGACAGGCCCCTGATTACATCTCGGACCTCATCCAAATTTACACTCCTGCGCGCGCCCTGAGGTCCGAGAGCCAGCTCCAGCTCGTGGTCCCTAACGCGAGACTTAAAACCCGGGGGGACAGAGCCTTCTCTGTGGTCGGCCCTAAGCTCTGGAACGCTCTTCCCCTCCATGTCCGGACGGCCCCCACAGTAGAGTGTTTTAAGTCTCGTCTTAAGACCCACTTTTACCCTTTTGACTTTTAACACTGCGTGAGTTGTGTGGTCCTCTGTGTTTTTATTTTATTTTATTTCTATCCATCCATCCATCCATTTTCTTCCGCTTTATCCGTTGTCGGGTCGCGGGGGCAGCAGTCTAAGCAGAGACGCCCAGACTTCCCTATCCACACACACTTCCTCCAGCTCGTCCGGGGGGACCCCAAGGCGTTCCCAGGCCAGCTGAGAGACAGTGGCTGTGTCCAAAACGCTAGGCATCGGGCCGCGTAGGGTGGATATGTAGGCATCGTGACGTCACTTCCGCAAGCGACGGCTATTGCAGGGGTGTCCAAAACCACTTGGCGAGCTCGCCAAGCGTAGGCATCATGACTTCGTCTCTATGGAAACGGCCACTTTTGGAGCAGATATGAAGGATGCATCTGATGTATGCTTCGTTGCCTTCTTTTTGCCGAGTCACGGCCGCGCATGCGCAGAACTCCGTTCGGCATTAACATGTAAACAACAACTCGGAGCTGCTGGAGCTAACATTATGGTAAGCACTGCTATACTTTACTGTGAAGTTATGTCTATAGTAAGTACTGCTATACTTTACTGTTGAGTTATGAACACGACTGTTATGATAAAACACAGACATAAATTAGATCTGCCACAGATGTGTGTATTTAACCTTGTTATCTGCTGTAAATAAGCTCAGTCCCGAAAAGCTAATGCTACGAGGCTAGTTCATTCAGATTCGGTTTTTTGAACAAGAAAAATCATGTTGTGTTTTATCTTTTAGGGAGAAACAAACCCACTGATTAATTATTAAAGCTACACTGAGGAAATAGTCACGTTTTCATGGAAAATCACTCTGCAGCACAGCAGCTATAGTATGCTAACACATGTTTTCTGTATTCATATAAAATAGATTGTGCATATCGTTTTTAATCCCATACTGAGACTGGGAAAACTGTATATATTAGACATATGAAATTATAGAATAGGCCAAGAATAATTATAAAGCCCTTTTCATACAATAGTCTAATAAATAGTAAACACACATTATACAGAGGTTTTGTTTGTCATGAATAAGACATTTGCAGAGGACAAAGTCCCACTTCCACAAACACAGGTTTAAAGTGGTTAGCCATGCTCATAACTTGATTATGTGTGTATATTTCTATCTTATCATTCTTCTGTTTCCCCTGCTGTGAAGCTTGTATCTCTAATATTAAATACTGTAAGGATTTCTGTATTTTATTTTTAACCAGTTTTTTGCAAAGCCCCAAATAAATAGTATTAGTTGAATATGAAGTGTAAAAAGAATCCTAAATGTGTGTTTTAATGCATGATGTTTGTGTTCTTCTTTTTCAGAGACTTGTGGTGAAATTAAGGTCATAATTTCTCCAGCTTCACCTCCATCACCTCCTGCTTCACCTCCATCACCTCCTGCTTCACCTCCATCACCTCATCACCACATTATGAACTACAACAAACTTGTATATAATATTTTCCTTTAATCAGCAATCATGAATAGTTAGAACAGTGGGCTCTGCATCTCTGAAGACATGTAGCAGAAGGAGCAGCAGCAGAAGGAGCAACAGGAGGAGTAACAGGAGGAGTAACAGCTGCAGCAGAAGGAGCAACAGGAGGAGTAACAGCAGCAGCAGAGGGAGCAACAGGAGCAGTAACAGCAGCAGCAGAAGGAGCAACAGGAGGAGTAACAGCTGCAGCAGAAGGAGCAACAGGAGGAGTAACAGCTGCAGCAGAAGGAGCAACAGGAGGAGTAACAGCTGCAGCAGAGGGAGCAACAGGAGCAGTAACAGCTGCAGCAGAAGGAGCAACAGGAGGAGTAACAGCTGCAGCAGAGGGAGCAACAGGAGGAGTAACAGCAGCAGCAGAAGGAGCAACAGGAGGAGTAACAGCAGCAGCAGAAGGAGCAACAGGAGGAGTAACAGCTGCAGCAGAGGGAGCAACAGGAGGAGTAACAGTTGCAGCAGAAGGAGCAACAGGAGTAACAGCAGCAGCAGGAGCAACACAGCAGCAGGAGCAACAGCAGCAGGAGCAACAGCAGCAGGAGCAACAGCAGCAGGAGCAACAGCAGCAGGAGCAACAGCAGCAGGAGCAGCAGCAGCAGGAGCAGCAGCAGCAGGAGCAACAGCAGCAGGAGCAACAGCAGCAGGAGCAGCAGCAGCAGCAGGAGCAACAGCAGCAGGAGCAACAGCAGCAGGAGCAGCAGCAGAGTCCTGGGCGTCTGCCTCTGACACAGGTCTCATCGACAGCACTTCACAGAGAACCTGGAAATAAAGAAAACAAATCAAACTTGTTGGTTTTATTATGATTTTGTTGTTTGTGTGAAATGTAAAGAGTCATCAAAGTGAGGTATTATTTACACAACTACATATTTGTCAGCAGTACTTATACTTATACTTATAATTGAATACATTAAACTCAAATGTGATTAGTAACGGTCTGTTTGCTTTTCAAGAGACATAAAAGTGAATAAGAGCAGTGTCAAACATCTGTGTTCAACTCCATTTTACAGATGTCTGTTAATGTTTCCATGGATGTGTCAGTTATTATTATAGATCCATGGATGTGTCAGTTATTATTATAGATCCATGGATGTGTCAGTTATTATTATAGATCCATGGATGTGTCAGTTATTATTATAGATAAATGGATGTGTCAGTTATTATTATAGATCCATGGATGTGTCAGTTATTATTATAGATCCATGGATGTGTCAGTTATTATTATAGATCCATGGATGTGTCAGTTATTATTATAGATCCATGGATGTGTCAGTTATTATTATAGATAAATGGATGTGTCAGTTATTATTATAGATCCATGGATGTGTCAGTTATTATTATAGATCCATGGATGTGTCAGTTATTATTATAGATCCATGGATGTGTCAGTTATTATTATAGATCCATGGATGTGTCAGTTATTATTATAGATCCATGGATGTGTCAGTTATTATTATAGATCCATGGATGTGTCAGTTATTATTATAGATCCATGGATTTTCCAGTTATTATTATAGATAAATGGATGTTCCAGTTATTATTATAGATATATGGATGTTCCAGTTATTATTATAGATAAATGGATGTTCCAGTTATTATTATAGATAAATGGATGTTCCAGTTATTATTATAGATAAATGGATGTGTCAGTTATTATTATAGATAAATGGATGTGTCAGTTATTATTATAGATAAATGGATGTGTCAGTTATTATTATAGATCCATGGATGTGTCAGTTATTATTATAGATCCATGGATTTTCCAGTTATTATTATAGATAAATGGATGTTCCAGTTATTATTATAGATATATGGATGTTCCAGTTATTATTATAGATAAATGGATGTTCCAGTTATTATTATAGATAAATGGATGTGTCAGTTATTATTATAGATCCATGGATGTGTCAGTTATTATTATAGATCCATGGATTTTCCAGTTATTATTATAGATAAATGGATGTTCCAGTTATTATTATAGATAAATGGATGTTCCAGTTATTATTATAGATAAATGGATGTGTCAGTTATTATTATAGATAAATGGATGTGTCAGTTATTATTATAGATAAATGGATGTTTCTCTCTCATCAGCAAACACACGTTAATACATTTAGGTCTGATAAAATTACTTTGGTTGGAAAGGTGAGAGTGCTGACTGAGCACTTTGGTGTGAAACGGTGAGTGTGTTGTTACCTCGAGCGCTGTGGTGTGAAAATACAACACTTTTTGACGTGCTGTAACGCCTCCTGTGTAAATTAGCAGTCAGGTCTTTGGTTTCTCTCTCTCTCTGGTCTCAGGGATCACAGGGTAAGTGTGTACTGTACTGTGATAGGCTATGAGGCAGCGCACGTGCAGTGGGGGCCCCTGGGTTTGGCCCCTACTCTCACACAGACCTCAAACCCAGACCCGACCCATTCCAGACCAAATCCAGACCAGAGGACCATGGACCGGATCGCGCTTCTCTCCGCGTGGGTTCTTGTCCTCGCGCTCCTCTGTGATGCACCGGGAACCAGCGATGGCAAAGGCACGCATGCGCAGGGGACCGGGTCAGTATGTGGGCTTCACACACGGGACAACTGTGATTATGATGGAGGGTAGAGAGACCAGAGAGAGACTATATAGAGAGAGAGACACCAGAGAGCGACACCACAGAGAAGAGACCAGAGAAGAGAGAGAGAGACCTTTTATTCATCACTTGGATTCTGTATTGATTGATATTTGTTTTCCTTAAAGAATAAATCTATTCTAATCTAGTTTTTCAGAACAGCCTGTTATGCATTCCAAAGATTCCAAGTCTTCAGAATCCACTTTAAAGCTGTGGTACGTGACTGAATAAACTTGGCAGAGCACTGAGACAAATGCAGAAGAAAATAGATTATGAGAAAAGATCCCCAGAATCCTCCTGCTCCTCATATTGTGCAGCAGAAGGAGAGTTGCTGCACAATATGAAAGTTTCATGAGAGACTGGCAGAGACCAGAGAGTTTCCAGTCTGATCCTCTGCTTTTGCTTCATAGTCCTCATACACATAACACCACTACAAAGTGAGTGTTACTTAAAGTTAACATCGAAAATACGTGAACATGAGAAACCCTGAGGACCATGAAACTCAGAACCATCAGAGATCGAAGGTTCTGGTTCTTTATGATCGTGGTGATTTTGAGCAGTCGCTGTGAGTCCAGACACAAAAAGACCATTCACTGTAAGTAATGAGAAAATCCCCCAGGTCCAAGCCCAGAGACAGACCAGAGAGAGACTAGAGGGACCAGAGAGAGGGACCAGAGAGAGACTAGAGGGAGACAAGCGAGACCCCAGAGGGGACTAAAACAAGGGCCAAATGTAAACAGAACTGGACTAAAACAATGGGTTAGAAGATTGAATCAGTGTGTGTGTGTGTGTGTGTTTTCCAGGATGAATGTGTGCGATGGTCGCTGCTGTGACGGCTGGAGCTGGTCCCTGAGAACCAGAGGATGCAGTAAGCGTAAGTCCAAAACCAGTGTCTCTCTCTGGTCCAGAGAACCAGAGAGGATCTGGTCTTTCTCCACATATAACTAGAGGCATGGGTTTATTACAGAGTTTTATTGATGTGGTTTTAAAATTACCTCAGCTTGGGTTGTGTACGTGTGTGTGTGTCTCTGTATTTGTGTATGTGTTTTTGAGTGTGATATTAGGACTGCTAATAGTCTTTCTGAAGATAATCTTCCATTGTTTGTTGACCTCAGCTTCAGGCCATGTTCCTCTGGATTAAGACTTTAAGATTTGGGTCAAATTCTCCAGGACTGAGGCTGTAGATCCAGGACTGAGGCTGTAGATCCAGGACTGAGGCTGTAGATCCAGGACTGAGGCTGTAGATCCTATTGTTGTTGTCTTCAGCTCGGTGTTTTCCTCGGTGCCTAAACGCCGGCATGTGCCGCGCTCCAAACCGTTGTGTGTGTGCGCCCGGTTTTTACGGCAAACGCTGCCAGGTCTCCACGGTGACGGTGCTGTATGCAGCAACGTCCAATCAGAACTCAGAGGTCGGCGAGGTCATCAGGAACAAGGACAACAGGCCACGGTCAGTGAGGAACTAAGTACTAATACTGCAGTAGAAAAGTACATGTCTCCACCTACTATACTCTACTCTACCTTGTACTGTATCCTAGCAACCTACCCACAACAAAACAGTGTGTGGGGAAATTCCTTGGTAACCATGGCTTCCACTGTCAGTTATAACATTTTAGTACCAGCTCAGCCTGAATAGAACCAGGACCAAGAGGGACTTAAGAAGGACCTGGTACTGGTCACACAGGATCAGTGGAAACACTCCCAATCATGGGAGAGTAGAGTAGGGTACACTAGGGTAGGGTAGAGTAGGAGAAGTTTGAACTGTGATTTTGTGAATGAAAACCAGTGTGGTGTTTTCTCAGGGCAGATGAGAACCAAAAGACCCAGCTCCAGAGAGACCAGAATCCACCTACTTCTGCTGGTGTTACTGCTGCTGATGATGATGTTACTGCTGCTGCTTTGGATCCAGAAGGTTCTGATGAGAGAGCATCATCTGTAAAGAGGAGCAGAGCATTCTGCTGTTGACCAGGAACTATGGAGAGAGACCAGAGAGAGACCAGAGAGACTAGAGAGACTAGAAAGAGACCAGAGCCAGGAACTAGTTATGTGGATTTTCTTACTGGGTTCTATTGTTGTGGTCTGAAAGTTACATAAATGAATGCTGAGTTACTCCTGTCTCGTCCGGCAAATGTTTGTTTCACCTCCCACCTGTGGGTCTCTGTCGCAGTGTGAAATGTTGCGTTGTCATATGAAGAGGCAGTTTATGGTTTTGTTTGGTCAATAGTGAGGTTAGTTCGGGGACCAGATGTGGGAGTCTAAACCAGGGTTGAGGCTGTAGACCTAGACCCAGACCCACAACTGAGGCTGTAGACCCAGGACTGAGAGTGTAGACCCAGGACGGAGGGAGTAGATCCAGGACTCTGTGAGTATGGTCCTGTTCTGTCCACTAGAGGGCGCTGCTAAACTATGTTTATTTCTATCAGAGACTCTACAGAGAACACATCTGAACAATGATAAAACCATTCAAAACATCGATGTTATGTTTATACTATTTAAAAACAAAATGGTTTTAGTGAGAGAGACCAGAGAGAGACCAGAGAGACCAGAGAGAGACCAGAGAGATAGACTAGAGCAGGCATGTCCAAACTCAGGCCCGCGGGCCATTTGCGGCCCTCTGTGCCTTTTTATGCTTCTACTGCTAACACAGCAAAGATTTTATAAAAGACTTTACTGAGTTCGTTTCTTTTAGTCTGGTGCGCTATGACAGGATTTTAATTGTCGGAGATTTTAATATACACGTTTGTTGTCCGTCTAAGCCCATGGCCAGAGACTTTTTGGACTTGATTGAAGCTTTTAATTTGACACAGCATGTTACTGTCCCCACACAGGTTCACGGTCATATTTTAGACCTTGTACTGTCTTATAGTTTTACTGTTGACAAACTTGTTGTTGGTAATGCTGTGTTTTCTGATCACAGTCCTGTTATGTTCAGTTTAAGTCTGTACCCTGACGTAAAGCCACCTGCTGTGCGTCATGGGCGTGTTATTAAGTCTGACACTGCAGCCGCCTTTTCTCTGTTCACTGTGTCACCACAGAGTTTTTCCCACTCTGTTGTATCCCCAGACACTGAACAATGAATGTGCTCTTTTATGTCCACATGCTCTAGGATCCTGGACAGTATAGCGCCGGTTAGAGCTATTTGTCCAAAACAAAAACAGGAGCCTTGGCTCAATGACACCACGCAGGCAGCTCGGCGTGAGTGGCGGAGGGCGGAGCGTAGGTGGAATAGGGATCACTTGGAGGTTTCTTACCAAATTCTTATAGAAAAGTGCCGGGACTACCAAAGTGTGGTTAAAGCTGAGAAAACAAACTATCTTTCAGACTTGATTGCAAATAGCATCAGTAAGCCACGTACTCTTTTTAAAACTATTAGTTCTGTTTTTAATCCGAATCCAGCCACTTCACTGGAGATAACTAATGAAACGTGTGAACGATTTGTCTCCTTTTTTAATGACAAGGTTGCTTCTATTCGAGCCAATCTAGCTCCTTCATCATTGAGTTTTAACATGGCTACTCGATGTTCTGCCGTTTTTAGTCAGTGTCCATGTCTGTGTTGACTGAGATGATGAGCAAACTCAAACCTTCGTCCTGTCCCACGGACCCAGTCCCTCCTCGCTTTTTTTAAAGAGGTTTGGGGCACTATTGGCTCTTCTGTGAGGGACATCATCAACAGCAGCTTGCTAACTGGCAATGTGCCTTCCTTTTGTAAAAGCGCTGTTGTTGAGCCTTTGATAAAAAAAGCAGGTCTTGATCCCATGGTTTCATCAAATTATCGCCCCATTTCAAAACAACCCTTTGTTTCAAAGCAAAGGAAGGTTTCTCACCCATCATCTATACTTCTTAGCAAGTTTTCCCGACGTTTCGTCTTCAAACTAGCGGACTTCTTCAGGGAATGAAGCATGATTGATTGAATGATTGAGCATCCCAGCAGACAATAGGTCTGTGACATGCTAATGAGTTAGGGTCGTTAGCCTCAGCAGGGTCGTTAGACCTGCTCCCTTCTACATCAAGCAGACCTTAGATTGTTTATGAGTTAGTATCAGGATTAGGGTGTGGCTAACCACACCCATAGGTTATAAATCTCCAACGCGCGGTCCGAGAATTCATTCCCTGAAGAAGTCCGCTAGTTTGAGGACGAAACGTTGGGAAAACTTGCTAAGAAGTACAGATGATGGGTGAGAAACCTTCCTTTGCTTTGACTAATCCCTGTACGACTGAGGGCTTACACAAACCCTTTGTTTCGAAAATATTGGAGAAATGTGTTTTGGCACAACTGCAACCTTTTTTAAATGAAAACAGCACGTTAGACCCATTTCAGTCTGGATACAAAGCTTTGCACATACTGAATCTGCACTTTTAAAGGCTTTTAATGATTTGCTTTTATTGACTGATTCTTACTGCTGCTTTTGACACTGTTGACCACACAATTCTTTTAGACCGCCTGAGAGATTGTGTGGGCGTCAGGGGGACTGCTTTGGAGTGGTTCAGGTCCTACCTGTCAGAGAGGTCTTTCTCAGTCAGGCTGGGGGATGCCACATCTTCTTCTGCTTCACTTTATTGTGGTGTCCCTCAAGAATCTATCTTGGGACCTAGCCTTTTTGCACTCTATCTCCTCCCACTTGGGGAGATTTTTAACAGACACGGAGTGTCCTATCACTTTTATGCAGATGACTGCCACATTTATATGCCAATTTCGAGAGGCCATGCCCCCCTGACGCCCCTGCTCAACTGTCTATGTGACGTCAAGGCTTGGTTAGCCCAGAATTTTTTAGTAATGAATGAGGGAAAAACGGAAATTTTAACATTTGGACCGGCCCTTACTGACTTGGGACCACTAGGAAATTATGTGCGTTCCATAGTCACCAGCTTTGGCGTCACTATAGACAGTGAGTTTAAATTTGAAAAACAAGTCAATGGCGTTTTAAAATCGTGTTTTTATCATCTTTGGCTTTTATCAAAAGGGAAGCCATTCTCATCTTTTAACTTGTTAGAACAGGTTGTGCATGCTTTTATTTCCAGTCGTCTGGACTACTGCAACGCACTTTATGCTGGTGTCAATCAGAAAACCCTCTCCCGGTTGCAGTTGGTCCAGAACGCAGCAGCACGACTTTTAACGGGGGCCAGAAAGCGCGAACACATCACCCCTGTACTCGCGTCTTTGCACTGGCTCCCTGTTCATTTAGAATGGATTTTAAAATGTTACTGTTTGTTTTTAAATCTTTGCATGGACAGGCCCCTGATTACATCTCGGACCTCATCCAAATTTACACTCCTGCGCGCGCCCTGAGGTCCGAGAGCCAGCTCCAGCTCGTGGTCCCTAACGCGAGACTTAAAACCCGGGGGGACAGAGCCTTCTCTGTGGTCGGCCCTAAGCTCTGGAACGCTCTTCCCCTCCATGTCCGGACGGCCCCCACAGTAGAGTGTTTTAAGTCTCGTCTTAAGACCCACTTTTACCCTTTTGACTTTTAACACTGCGTGAGTTGTGTGGTCCTCTGTGTTTTTATTTTATTTTATTTCTATCCATCCATCCATCCATTTTCTTCCGCTTTATCCGTTGTCGGGTCGCGGGGGCAGCAGTCTAAGCAGAGACGCCCAGACTTCCCTATCCACACACACTTCCTCCAGCTCGTCCGGGGGGACCCCAAGGCGTTCCCAGGCCAGCTGAGAGACAGTGGCTGTGTCCAAAACGCTAGGCATCGGGCCGCGTAGGGTGGATATGTAGGCATCGTGACGTCACTTCCGCAAGCGACGGCTATTGCAGGGGTGTCCAAAACCACTTGGCGAGCTCGCCAAGCGTAGGCATCATGACTTCGTCTCTATGGAAACGGCCACTTTTGGAGCAGATATGAAGGATGCATCTGATGTATGCTTCGTTGCCTTCTTTTTGCCGAGTCACGGCCGCGCATGCGCAGAACTCCGTTCGGCATTAACATGTAAACAACAACTCGGAGCTGCTGGAGCTAACATTATGGTAAGCACTGCTATACTTTACTGTGAAGTTATGTCTATAGTAAGTACTGCTATACTTTTACTGTTGAGTTATGAACACGACTGTTATGATAAAACACAGACATAAATTAGATCTGCCACAGATCTTTAACCCTATTTAACCTTGTTATCTGCTGTAAATAAGCTCAGTCCCGAAAAGCTAATGCTACGAGGCTAGTTCATTCAGATTCGGTTTTTGAACAAGAAAAATCATGTTGTGTTTTATCTTTTAGGGAGAAACAAACCCACTGATTAATTATTAAAGCTACACTGAGGAAATAGTCACGTTTTCATGGAAAATCACTCTGCAGCACAGCAGCTATAGTATGCTAACACATGTTTTCTGTATTCATATAAAATAGATTGTGCATATCGTTTTTAATCCCATACTGAGACTGGGAAAACTGTATATATTAGACATATGAAATTATAGAATAGGCCAACAATAATTATAAAGCCCTTTTCATACAATAGTCTAATAAATAGTAAACACACATTATACAGAGGTTTTGTTTGTCATGAATAAGACATTTGCAGAGGACAAAGTCCCACTTCCACAAACACAGGTTTAAAGTGGTTAGCCATGCTCATAACTTGATTATGTGTGTATATTTCTATCTTATCATTCTTCTGTTTCCCCTGCTGTGAAGCTTGTATCTCTAATATTAAATACTGTAAGGATTTCTGTATTTTATTTTTAACCAGTTTTTTGCAAAGCCCCAAATAAATAGTATTAGTTGAATATGAAGTGTAAAAAGAATCCTAAATGTGTGTTTTAATGCATGATGTTTGTGTTCTTCTTTTTCAGAGACTTGTGGTGAAATTAAGGTCATAATTTCTCCAGCTTCACCTCCATCACCTCCTGCTTCACCTCCATCACCTCCTGCTTCACCTCCATCACCTCATCACCACATTATGAACTACAACAAACTTGTATATAATATTTTCCTTTAATCAGCAATCATGAATAGTTAGAACAGTGGGCTCTGCATCTCTGAAGACATGTAGCAGAAGGAGCAGCAGCAGAAGGAGCAACAGGAGGAGTAACAGGAGGAGTAACAGCTGCAGCAGAAGGAGCAACAGGAGGAGTAACAGCAGCAGCAGAGGGAGCAACAGGAGCAGTAACAGCAGCAGCAGAAGGAGCAACAGGAGGAGTAACAGCTGCAGCAGAAGGAGCAACAGGAGGAGTAACAGCTGCAGCAGAAGGAGCAACAGGAGGAGTAACAGCTGCAGCAGAGGGAGCAACAGGAGCAGTAACAGCTGCAGCAGAAGGAGCAACAGGAGGAGTAACAGCTGCAGCAGAGGGAGCAACAGGAGGAGTAACAGCAGCAGCAGAAGGAGCAACAGGAGGAGTAACAGCAGCAGCAGAAGGAGCAACAGGAGGAGTAACAGCTGCAGCAGAGGGAGCAACAGGAGGAGTAACAGTTGCAGCAGAAGGAGCAACAGGAGTAACAGCAGCAGCAGGAGCAACAGCAGCAGCAGGAGCAACAGCAGCAGGAGCAACAGCAGCAGGAGCAACAGCAGCAGGAGCAACAGCAGCAGGAGCAACAGCAGCAGGAGCAACAGCAGCAGGAGCAGCAGCAGCAGGAGCAACAGCAGCAGGAGCAACAGCAGCAGGAGCAGCAGCAGCAGCAGGAGCAACAGCAGCAGGAGCAACAGCAGCAGGAGCAGCAGCAGAGTCCTGGGCGTCTGCCTCTGACACAGGTCTCATCGACAGCACTTCACAGAGAACCTGGAAATAAAGAAAACAAATCAAACTTGTTGGTTTTATTATGATTTTGTTGTTTGTGTGAAATGTAAAGAGTCATCAAAGTGAGGTATTATTTACACAACTACATATTTGTCAGCAGTACTTATACTTATACTTATAATTGAATACATTAAACTCAAATGTGATTAGTAACGGTCTGTTTGCTTTTCAAGAGACATAAAAGTGAATAAGAGCAGTGTCAAACATCTGTGTTCAACTCCATTTTACAGATGTCTGTTAATGTTTCCATGGATGTGTCAGTTATTATTATAGATCCATGGATGTGTCAGTTATTATTATAGATCCATGGATGTGTCAGTTATTATTATAGATCCATGGATGTGTCAGTTATTATTATAGATAAATGGATGTGTCAGTTATTATTATAGATCCATGGATGTGTCAGTTATTATTATAGATCCATGGATGTGTCAGTTATTATTATAGATCCATGGATGTGTCAGTTATTATTATAGATCCATGGATGTGTCAGTTATTATTATAGATAAATGGATGTGTCAGTTATTATTATAGATCCATGGATGTGTCAGTTATTATTATAGATCCATGGATGTGTCAGTTATTATTATAGATCCATGGATGTGTCAGTTATTATTATAGATCCATGGATGTGTCAGTTATTATTATAGATCCATGGATGTGTCAGTTATTATTATAGATCCATGGATGTGTCAGTTATTATTATAGATCCATGGATTTTCCAGTTATTATTATAGATAAATGGATGTTCCAGTTATTATTATAGATATATGGATGTTCCAGTTATTATTATAGATAAATGGATGTTCCAGTTATTATTATAGATAAATGGATGTTCCAGTTATTATTATAGATAAATGGATGTGTCAGTTATTATTATAGATAAATGGATGTGTCAGTTATTATTATAGATAAATGGATGTGTCAGTTATTATTATAGATCCATGGATGTGTCAGTTATTATTATAGATCCATGGATTTTCCAGTTATTATTATAGATAAATGGATGTTCCAGTTATTATTATAGATATATGGATGTTCCAGTTATTATTATAGATAAATGGATGTTCCAGTTATTATTATAGATAAATGGATGTGTCAGTTATTATTATAGATCCATGGATGTGTCAGTTATTATTATAGATCCATGGATTTTCCAGTTATTATTATAGATAAATGGATGTTCCAGTTATTATTATAGATAAATGGATGTTCCAGTTATTATTATAGATAAATGGATGTGTCAGTTATTATTATAGATAAATGGATGTGTCAGTTATTATTATAGATAAATGGATGTTTCTCTCTCATCAGCAAACACACGTTAATACATTTAGGTCTGATAAAATTACTTTTAAGTGATGCACAAACGAGGGCCATAGCAAATATATAATCCATATCTAATAATCATTTATTGCATATATGTGCATTGTTTACATAAAATATAACTTTGTAAAAACTAATGATTACTGCCAATACAATTGTTATAACAGAGAAAGTGTAACAACAAAAGCATCCTCTGTTTTTTCAGAATACGATTGTAAACATCCAGGGGGCTCTCATTACCTGAACCCGTGTTTAGACAGCCTGTTCTGGGCTTCAGCACTGCAGCTAACTGGGCTGTTAGCTTATAGCACCGGAGCTTCAGGCTGGAGGTAAAGTCCGAAAATTTTCGAATTTATGTCCAAACAGACTTCTGATATGACAATAGAGGGGGATATTTCTCGCCTCAAATGATATTAGAATTAACTTTTATGTCCTAATTAAAGCGTATTTAGAACTTTTTACCGTCCATCATGGCCGCCGTGTCCTTCCGCTCCGCTCTGAGTTGTGTAGTCACGTGACGAAGGCAGAAGGCAGCTGCTGTCCAAATCCACATCACGTCTCGCCTCCTACCTCGCCTGTGGCTACGCGGCCTTCCCTCGATGCCTACATATCCACCCTACGCGGCCCGATGCCTACCGTTTTGGACACAGCCATAGTCCCTCCAGCGTGTCCTAGGTCTTCCGCGGGGCCTCCTCCCGGTGGGACGTGCCCGGAACACCTCCCCAGGGAGGCGTCCAGGAGGCATCCGGAACAGATGCCCGAGCCACCTCAACTGGTTCCTCTCGACGTGGAGAAGCAGCGGCTCTACTCCGAGCTCCTCCCGTGTGACTGAGCTCCTCACCCTATCTCTAAGGGAGCGCCCAGCCACTCTGCGGAGGAAGCTCATTTCGGCCGCTTGTATCCGCGATCTCGTTCTTTCGGTCATTACCCAAAGCTCATGACCATAGGTGAGGGAGGGAACGAAGATTGACCGGTAAATTGAGAGCTTTGCCTTTCGGCTCAGCTCCCTCTTTACCACAACGGTCCGATACAGCGACCGCATCACTGCGCACGCTGCACCGATCCGCCTGTCAATCTCACGCTCCATTCTTCCCTCACTCGTGAACAAGACCCCGAGATACTTGAACTCCTCCACTTGAGAAAGGACCTCTCCACCCACCTGCAGAGGGCAAGGCACCTTTTTCCGGTCGAGCACCATGGCCTCGGATTTGGAGGTGCTGATTCTCATCCCAGCCGCTTCACACTCGGCTGCAAACCGCCCCAGTGCATGTTGCAGGTCCTGGTTCGTTGGAGCCAACAGGACAACATCGTCCGCAAACAGCAGAGATGAAATCCTGTGGTCTCCGAACCGGACCCCCTCCGACCCCTGGCTGCGCCTAGATATTCTGTCCATAAATACAGTGAACAGAACCGGTGACAAAGGGCAGCCCTGTCGGAGGCCAACATTCACCGGGAACAGGTCTGACTTACTGCCGGCAATGCGAACACAGCTCTGGCTCCGGTCATACAGGGATCGGATGGCCCTCAGCAGAGGACCCCCGACCCCGTACTCCCGGAGAACCCCCCAAAGGACACCCCGGGGAACACAGTCGAACGCCTTCTCCAAATCCCAAAACACATGTGGACAGGTTGGGCGAACTCCCATGAACCCTCGAGTATCCGATGGAGAGTATAGAGCTGGTCCAGTGTTCCGCGACCGGGACGAAAACCACACTGCTCCTCCTGGATCCGAGATTCGACCATCGGCCGTAACCTCCTCTCCAGTACCCTGGAGTAGACCTTACCGGGGAGGCTGAGGAGTGTGATCCCACGATAATTGGAACACACCCTCCGGTCCCCCTTCTTGTAGAGAGGGACCACCACCCCGGTCTGCCACTCCATTGGCACTGCCCCCAATCGCCACGCGATGTTGCAGAGACGTGTCAGCCAAGACAGTCCTACAACATCCAGAGACTTTAGATAATCAGGGCGGATCTCATCCACACCCGGAGCCTTGCCACCATGGAGGCTACCAACCACCTTGGTGACCTCAGCCAGGGAGATGGATGTATCCGCCCCAACATCCTCAGCCTCTGCCTCTGTAACAGAGGACGTGACGGGGGGATTGAGGAGAACCTCAAAGTATTCCTTCCACCGCCCGACAATATCCCCAGTCGAGGTCAGCAGCTCTCCACCCGCACCGTACATGGTGTTGGCAAAGAACTGCTTCCCCCTCCTGAGGCGCCGGATGGTTTGCCAGAATCTCTTCGAGGCCGACCGATAGTCATGCTCCATGGACTCTCCGAACTCCTCCCAGTCCCGGGTTTTTGCCTCTGCAACAGCCCGGGCCGCGGCACGCTTGGCCTGCCGGTACTGGACAGCTGCCTCAGGAGTCCCCCGAACCATCATGGCTCGATAGGACTCCTTCTTCAGCCTGACAGCATCCCTTACTGCCGGTGTCCACCACCGGGTTCGGGGGTTGCCGCCGGGACCAGCACCAGAGACCTTGCGACCACAGCTACGAGCCGCCGCATCGGCGATTGAGGCAGAGAACATGGTCCACTCGGACTCCATGTCCCCCTCCTCCGCCGGGACCTGGGAGAAACTCTCCCGGAGGTGCGAGTTGAAAGTCCGTCTGACAGGGGGCTCAGCGAGACGTTCCCAGCAGACCCTCACTATACGCTTGGGTCTGCCAGGTCTGACCGGCTTCTTCCCCTGCCAGCGGATCCAACTCACGACCAGGTGATGATCGGTTGACAGCTCCGCCCCTCTCTTTACCCGAGTGTCCGAGACACGCGGTCGAAGGTCAGATGATACGACAACAAAGTCGATCATCGACCTCCGGCCCAGGGTGTCCTGGTGCCACGTGCACTGGTGGACACCCTTGTGCTCGAACATGGTGTTCGTGATGGACAAACTGTGACTGGCACAGAAGTCCAACAACTGAACACCGCTCGGGTTCAGATCAGGGGGGCCGTTCTTTCCAATCACCCCTCTCCAAGTGTCACTGGCGACTCCCACATGGGCGTTGAAGTCCCCCAGGAGAATAACGGAGTCCCCGGGCGGTGCACCGTCCAGTACCCCTCCCAAGGACTCCAAGAAGGCCGGGTACTCTGCACTGCTGTTAGGCCCGTAGGCCGTCACAACAATGAGAGACTTGTCCCCCACCCGGAGGCGGAGGGACGCGACCCTCTCATTCACCGGGGAGAACTCCAACACGTGGCGGCTGAGATGGGGGGCAATGAGAATGGCCACCCCAGCTCGCCGCCTCTCCCCGCGGGAAACTCCAGAAAAGTGGAGCGTCCAACCCCTCTCAAGGAGTTGGGTTCCAGAGCCCAAGCTGTGTGTGGAGGTGAGGCCGACTATCTCTAGTCGGTATCGCTCAACCTCCCCCACGAGCTCGGGCTCCTTCCCCCCCAGTGAGGTGACGTTCCACGTCCCAAGAGCCAGATGTTGTGTGTGCGGACTGGGTCGCCGAGGTCTCCGCCTTCGACTGCCGCCCAGTCCTCTCAGCACCGCGCCACCACGGACCCCTCTGCAGGTGGTGGGCCCACAGGAGGGACTGCCCACGTCATCCCTTCGGGCTGGGCCCGGCCGGGCCCCGTGGGCTAAGGCCCGGCCACCAGGCGCTCGCATACGAGCCCCGACCCCAGGCCTGGCTCCAGGGTGGGGCCCCGGCTGCGCCATGCCGGGCGACGTCACTGCTCTCATTATAGTGCGATCCATGGTGGTTTTTGGACTGCGCTTCGTCTGACTCGTCACCTGAGACCTGTCTGCCATGGGAGACCCTACCAGGGGCATGAAGCCCCAGACAGCATAGCTCCCAGGATCATCTGAGTACTCAAACTCCCCCACCACGTTAAGGTGGCAGTCCAGGGGGGATTTTATTTCTATTTATGGTTTTAATCTGTTTTATATATTTTAATTCTTTTATACTTGGTGAAGCTAAGGATAAGTTGTTATTTATTTTATACTTTTTTGTGCAGCACTTTGGAAACGTAACTGTTGTTTAAATGTGCTATATAAATAAAGTGGATTGGATTGGACAAAGTCGCCATTGAGGGTCATCCAACAAACTTCAGCTCCAACAACACAGTCATGTTATAACTTGTTTTAAATCTCAGACCCTCTAGAATCCAGTCGCTGACTTTATTGTCAAAACATTCCAAATAAAATGCAGCTGAAACTGCAGACAGCTGAAGTGAAACAATAAGGACGTATGATAACCCTTTTTAAATTCCAGAATTCAGTCAATCCAGCTCAAATCCAGTTTTTTAAATCCAGGTTGTCAGCCCCAGGTCAAGTCTAATTAACTAAAGTGGCCCCCTTGCTAAAATGTTTGGACACCCCTGGACTAGAGAGAGACCAGAGAGAGTCCAGAGAAAGAACAGAGAGAGAGAAATGTGTGTGTTTGTGTGAACTCTTTATCTGCGGCTCACACTATCACAGAAACAACAGACCCACAGAGACCGAGCCGGACTCCCAGCTCTGGTCTGGCCTCTGAGTCTGGTTTGGATCTGGTCGGGGTCTGATCTATATTCTAGTCTAGGTCTGGTCTAGGCCTAGTCTAGTCTAGATTCTAGTCTATGTCAGGTCCAGGTCTGGTTCAGGTCTATGTCTCATCTAAGTCTAGGCCTGGTCTGGTTTTGATTGGTCGTCTTAACTCTCTGGTCCCTGATTGGTCCTCTTTACCTCTCTGGCTCTGATTGGTCCTCTATACTCTCTGGCCTCTGATTGGTCCTCTTAACTCTCTGGCTCTGATTGGTCCTCAGCGTGCGCGAGCTGCAGGCACTGCTCCTGAAGAAGGCGAGCGGCGGCCGAGCGGACAAAATGGCCGCCCTCCTCATGAGGCACATGGAGCGTCAGAGAGGACGCACTGTCACCCCAGCAACGGACAACATCACTATGGCAACAGGGAGGGGCCACAACAACGTCACCATGACAACGGACCACAACAATATAGTTGCCATAGAAACAGCCGCCTCAGTCAGAGAGAGAGTCATCCACACCTCCAGGGGGCAGTACACACTCCGCTTCAGTAAAGGTACAAAACTTTGTATCTGTACGATACGACCAGAGACCAGAGAGAGAGACCAGCGAGAGACCAGAGTGAGACCAGAGAGAGACCCGAGAGAGACCAGAGAGAGATCAGAGTGAGACCAGAGTGAGACCAGAGTGAGACCAGAGAGAGACCAGAGAGAGACCAGAGAGAGACCAGAGAGAGACCAGAGAGAGACCAGAGAAAGACCAGAGAGAGACCAGAGAGAGACCAGAGAGAGAGACCAGAGAGAGATCAGAGTGAGACCAGAGAGAGAGACCAGAGTGAGACCAGAGTGAGACCAGAGTGACACCAGAGTGAGACCAGAGTGAGACCAGAGTGAGACCAGAGATAGATCAGAGTGAGACCAGAGAGAGACCAGAGAGAAACTAGAGAGACAAAGTAGAGACCAGAGAGAGACTAGGAGAGACCAAAGAGACTAAGGAGAGACCAGAGAACCCAAGACCAGAGAGAGAGACCAGCGAGAGAGACCAGAGAACCCAAGACCAGAGAGAGAGACCAGCGAGAGAGACCAGAGAGAGAGACCAGCGAGAGACCAGTGAGAAAGACCAGTGAGAGATCAGAGCCAGGAACTTGAGACATGGGTTTAATAGAGTTCTGTTGGTCTGACAGTTACGTCCCGTAGCTTTAATGCTGCTGCTGAGTGCGTGATGTGTTTTTGAATGAGCTCATGTCTCTGTGAGAGAACAGTATGTTTTCTGTGAGTCAAACCAAGTCTCTGACAAGAAGCAGGTTCAATTTATTTGTGTATCGCCCTAAATCACAGCTGCAGTCATCTCTGAGGACTTTAAAAAGTTGTGGATTCACCAACAAGAGATCAGAGAATCAAACACAGAGGAAATTAAACAATGATTCAAATTTACCCGAGTTGCGACTCATATGTGTAATATTCAACCTGTAATATTCATGATTTTTTTTTTTAGGAACCTCAGCTTTAAATAAGACTAAAACTAGGACCAATAGAGAAATCATCCTTCATGTATCGGTACAAAGAGGACTGTGTCACTGAGAAAATCTACCAAGACACGACCGTCTGCCCAAACTCACAGCTCCAACAACATTTAGGCGAGCCCAACATTTTCAGAAAAAAACAAAGACATACAGAGACCAAAGAGAGACCAGAGAGAGAGACCAGAGACAGACCAGAGCGAGAGAGAGACCAGAGACAGACCAGCAAGAGAAAGCAGAGAGAGACTAGAGAGAGAGACCAGAGAGAAAGACAGGAGAGACCAGAGAGAGAGACCAGGGAGTGACCAGAGAGAAAGACAGAGGAGAGACCAGAGAGAGAGACCAGGGAGTGACCAGAGAGAAAGACAGAGGAGAGACCAGAGAGAGAGACCAGGGAGTGACCAGAGAGAAAGACAGAGGAGAGACCAGAGAGAGACCTTGTACAGTGTGTTGGAGGTTCTTGCCTCACAGGGAAACGCCTGACCCAGGGAGAGTCCAGAGGAGAGGGTTGCATCATGGTTATGTTTGGACAAGAGCCACAAAACTGCTTTCAATTACACACTCGTGCTTGTGCACACACACACACGCAAACACACAGAGACACACACACACACACAAGAGACACCCACACACACACACACGAGACACACACACACACACACACAGAGACACTCCCCTTCCCTCCCACACTCTGCTTCCCTCTGGTACTACTTCTTCTCCTTCAGCTGACTTTGTGGTCTGTGTGCATGAGGACCATGTGTGTGACCGCACTGCTGTGTTGTCTCTGTGCGCTCCTCTGTGCAGATGCCCAGTCCCCGGAGCGCCCGGAGCGTCTCCAGGTCACTTTCAAACCCACGGTCTGCAGACTGCGGTGCACACGCGGCCGCTGCGTTAATGTGTGCGAGCTCGCTAACCTCACCACGGTCAGCAGCGGTGCAGAGGAGGGAGCCCCCTTCAGGGTCTGTGAGTACTGCACATACACACACGAGAGTGCCCCCTTCAGGTTCTGTGAGTACTGCACATACACACACACACACGAGAGTGCCCCCTTCAGGGTCTGTGAGTACTGCACATACACACACGAGAGTGCCCCCTTCAGGGTCTGTGAGTACTGCACATACACACACGAGAGTGCCCCCTTCAGGTTCTGTGAGTACTGCACATACACACACACACACGAGAGTGCCCCCTTCAGGGTCTGTGAGTACTGCACATACACACAAAGAGGAGGGCGCCCCCTTCAGGGTCTGTGAGTACTGCACATACACACAAAGAGGAGGGCGCCCCCTTCAGGGTCTGTGAGTACTGCACATACACACAAAGAGGAGGGCGCCCCCTTCAGGGTCTGTGAGTACTGCACATACACACAAAGAGGAGGGCGCCCCCTTCAGGGTCTGTGAGTACTGCACATACACACAAAGAGGAGGGCAACCCCTTCAGGGTCTGTGAGTACTGCACATACACACAAAGAGGAGGGCGCCCCCTTCAGGGTCTGTGAGTACTGCACATACACACAAAGAGGAGGGCGCCCCCTTCAGGGTCTGTGAGTACTGCACACACACATGCACACCCACACACAGACAGACCAAGCCCCGGCGATCCAAGATGGCGCCGTATTCAAACGAACGGTTTGTGCTCAGTGGCGCTTTGTGCCGGCATGGGGGCTGAAAGATTAGCGGAACTCGCAAAGAACCATGGAAAACTTGCCTGTATTTGGGCATCGTCTGGTCCTCCCGGTTCTGTGCAGTGGATGAACTCCCATGATGCGTTGCGCAAAATACGCGTGTGTGGCTGTCATGCACGCGCACAGAGGGGCTCGGCCGCGCTCTGACCAATCAGAGGAGTTCATCAGAGCGGGAGTTAGACCACAGTTTGTGGCATTAAAGTGTGGATTTAAAGAAAACCGAAGGATTTAATAAGAAAAAAAGTTCAGGATGACAAGGGACACTAAAATCCCCACAAAATCCAGCCTTAATGAAAGCTGTAGGTTCTCTGTCAGCTGAGGTTGAGCTGTTTTAATTCACATTGAGTTCTATGGGGAAAATTTCTGGGTAGCCCTCGTGAATTTAGTCTGGTTTAGTCTGCAGTACCGCGAGAATCCCCCGAGCACATGGGTTCTTCAGCTCCAAGCTAGTAATACTCTATCCAGATATTATAATAGATCCATGAGACAGACACACACACAGACACATACGCGCAGAGGAGGGCGCCCCCCTCAGAGTCTGTGAGTACGACAGCTGCTGTCTGTTGGAGAAACGCGTTCCAAAATAATGCATAATGAGTGTAATTTACCTGTTGCTGTATTGCAGTAATGTAAGACATTAAAAACCTGTGATATTTGACTGAGTTTTATAACGTTACGTTTCAATTTAAATTAAATATAGTTTTGTTTGTACACACATACAGTGCCTTGCGAAATTATTCGCCCCCCTTGAACCTTTCAACATTTCGCCACATTTCAGGCTTCAAACATAAAGATATAAAATTTTATTTTTTTGTCATGAATCAACAACAAGTGGGACATAATCGTGAAGTGGAACGAAATTTATTGGATAATTTAAAGTCTCAGGGTTCTGTTTAAAGCACAGAGAGAACCATGAAGACAAAGGAACACACCAGGCAGGTCCGAGATACTGTTGTGGAGAAGTTTAAAGCCGGATTTGGATACAAAAAGATTTCCCAAGCTTTAAACATCTCAAGGAGCACTGTGCAAGCAATTATATTGAAATGGAAGGAGTATCAGACCACTGCAAATCTACCAAGACCCGGCCGTCCCTCCAAACTTTCATCTCAAACAAGGAGAAGACTGATCAGAGATGCAGCCAAGAGGCCCATGATCACTCTGGATGCACTGCAGATAACTACAGCTGAGGTGGGAGAGTCTGTCCATAGGACAACAATCAGTCGTGCACTGCACAAATCTGGCCTTTATGGAAGAGTGGCAAGAAGAAAGCCATTTCTCAAAGATATCCATAAAAAGTCTCGTTTAAAGTTTGCCACAAGCCACCTGGGAGACACACCAAACATGTGGAAGAAGGTGCTCTGGTCAGATGAAACCAAAATCGAACTTTTTGGTCACAATGCAAAACAATATGTAACACAGCTCATCACCCTGAACGCACCATCCCCACTGTCAAACATGGTGGTGGCAGCATCATGGTTTGGGCCTGCTTTTCTTCAGCAGGGACAGGGAAGATGGCTAAAATTGATGGGAAGATGGATGGAGCCAAATACAGGACCATTCTGGAAGAAAACCTGTTGGAGTCTGCAAAAGACCTGAGACTGGGACGGAGATTTATCTTCCAACAGGACAATGATCTAAAACATAAAGCCAAATCTACAATGGAATGGTTCACAAATAGACGTATCCAGGTGTTAGAATGGCCAAGTCAAAGTCCAGACCTGAATCCAATCGAGAATCTGTGGAAAGAGCTGAAGACTGCTGTTCACAAACGCTCTCCATCCAACCTCACTGAGCTCGAGCTGTTTTGCAAGGAAGAATGGGCAATAATTCCAGTCTCTCGATGTGCAAAACTGATAGAGACATACCCCAAGCGACTTGCAGCTGTAATTGCAGCAAAAGGTGGCGCTACAAAGTATTAGCGCAAGGGGGCCGAATAATATTGCACGCCCCACTTTTCAGTGTTATTTGTTAAAAAAGTTTAAATTATTCAATAAATTTTGTTCCACTTCACGATTGTGTCCCACTTGTTGATTCTTGACACAAAAAAATATTTTTATATCTTTATGTTTGAAGCCTGAAATGTGGCGAAATGTTGAAAGGTTCAATGGGGGCCGAATACTTTCGCAAGGCACTGTATATTCATAAGCTCACGAGGCTATCGCGGTGCAGAGTATAAAAACGTATGTAGTAACCTGCCCAACACTGGGGACCAGATAGAAACACCATAAGAGTGACTAATGAGAGACTAGCGAGAGACCAGAAAGAGACCAGATAAAGATCACAGAGAGAGACCAGACAGAGAAACCAGAAATAAACCAGAGAGAGAGAACAGAGTGAGGGACCAGAGAGAGAGAACAGAGGTAAGTAGTAGTAAGTAAGTAATCTTTATTTATATACCGCCTTTTCACTGCAAATCTGAGTCTCAAAGCGGTTTACAATTGTTAATTGGTAGAGACCAGAGATAGAGACTAGATAGGGAGATCAGGAAGAATCACAGTATAATAGACTAAAGTTTCTCAATCATGTGGAGCAAACTTATTTTTTTACATAGACAACTTTAAAAAGGAGAAAGCAGCACGTGCAGCAGCCCTATGGTGTAGGTTACAAGGCGGGTTAGATGCCTGGATTGCTCAGGGAGAATGAATCTCAGTAACAGTGTTCTTACAGCAGCAGCTCTGACCCAGATGTGGCTCCAACAGATGGAGTAGATCAGGACACACATGTAAACAGAGAGAGGTGTGTGTGTGTGTGTCCTGATAAAACCAGTAGAACTCTGGTATTTTTCTTTTTTCTCTGGTCTCTCTTTTGTCTGGCCTCTCTCCAGCCTCCCTGGTATCTTTCTGGTCTCTCTCTGGTCTCTCTTTGGTCACTCTCTGATCTCTCTCCTGTCTCACTCTGATCTCTCTCCTGTCTCACTCTGGTCTCACTCTGGTCTCAGGTCATATCTGCAAGTTCCATCAGAGTAGAACATTTAGAGATGGTGACTTGAGGAGGACCGGTCCAGACCCAGACCAGAGAAGGACCGGTCCAGACCCTCGCAGACTCAGACGACTGTGAGAACAATGAGTACTTCCTGACAGACAGGAAGCAGGAAGTGTTGAGCTGTGATTACGATCTGACACTTTCACTACAAACTACAAAACTACAAACCCTGGTGACCCCAGAGACTGTACACAGATGGACAATGCTAATCCACTAGTTTAATGGAGTCCAATAGAGAGGTGCTCATAGCAAAGTTTGGCTACAACTTGTTGTAAATCCAGATATGAGCCATAACAAATGTCTGTCTGTCTGTCTGTGTGTGTGTCTGGGTCTCTCTTGTGTGTCTGTGTGTGTATCTCTCTCTGTGGGACTGTCTCTCCCTCTGTGTGTGCGTGTCTCACTCTGAGTGTCTTTCACTCTGTCTGTGTGTGCGTGTCTCACTCTGTCTGTGTGTGTGTGTCTCTCTCGCTCGCTCTGTCTGTCTGTCTTTCTCTCTGTGTCTGTCTCTCTCTCGCTCCCTGTGTGTATCTACCTCCCTCTCGCTGTGTGTGTGTGTGTGTGTCTCTCTCTCCTTTGCTGTGTGTGTGAAGTTGTGTGTCCGTTGCTGTGTCAGAATGGAGGCCTGTGTTTACAGAAGGACCGTTGTGCGTGTCCTCCAAACTTCACCGGAAAGTTCTGCCAGCTGAATGCCATGGCCAATCACAGCGCAGCTTCTCCTCCGTTCTCAGCCAATCAGCAGCTGACGCACTCACAGTTCCTTCTCCCCCTTGGCGACAGCCCAGAGACACACACAGCAGGAGGTAAGACTGTTCATCTGAGCTATAATGTCTGTTGTCAACCAACTCTAAATAACATTAGCTTTAAAATGAAGTATCCCTGGTCTCTCGTTGGTCTCTCTCTCCCGTCTAAAGTCAGCGATCAGTGGGTTTTTGCTGTGTGTGAAAGTCCCTAAAGCTGGTGTCTCTCTTGTTCGTACAGCTCCCGGTCGTCCCATGGTACATGTCAGAGTACAGCACCCCCCAGAGGCCAGTGTGGAAGTGCACCAGGTGATCAAGGTGAAGCACATGCAGCCAATCACACACACAGCTGTCTCTGAGTGTGACATCACCGTCTTAGCCTTCATGCAGAGGATGCTGATTAGAGCTAATTCACTTTGGAGAGACCCAAGAGGGAAAATGCAGTTAGAAGTTTGTTGATTGAGTATGTTTGGCGCCCTAGGCCCGGGAGAGATGCTGTTGAGTGCGGCGCTTGCTCGCGCACATAATCCCCCCCCCCGGGGCCTAGGCACTGGTGACGGCAGAGGCAGTAGGCAAGCACGCTTCAATGAGAGAAGGAGGAGGTGGGGCGGCGGAGGCTTTGCAACCTTCAGAAGGCCGGGAAGTGGGCATCTCCGGCTTTTAACTTGCTGTCCTGGTGGTTATTGGTGGATTAGATGTGGGCGTTTTGCTGGTGTAATGAGTAGAGGATGAGCAGGCTTGTAGATCTGGCGGCAGCGGCCGGGTCTACCACAGTGAATTTTCGCGAAGAGCTCCATCTCTACTTGTTCGACCTGTTAGTTTAGGTGGACGGCCGTGTCTTGGTAAGTTTGCAGTGGTGTTCAGATCTTGGTAGAACCCAACACTGCTTTAAACTTCTCCACATATTTATCCCAGATCTCTGACCCCTGACCTCTGAGTTGTCTCCTTTACCCCTGACCTATGGGGTGTCATTGGCCGTCATGATGTTGTTTAGTGACCATCTTCCCAGATAAAATTATCTCTGTGACCTCTGACCTCAGGTACCAGCTTCTCAGCGCGCAGGGGTCACAGCGGGGTCTGCGGGGTTTCCTGCTCCCGGCTCCAGGGGCGTCCAGGCCCAGAGCGTCAGCGGAACAGGAACCTTCAACCACAACTCTGGGTTCAAGTACTGCTTCAGAGAGGTGACCGCAGGACAGGTGAGGGACCAGGGACCAGGTGAGAGACACTGGTAGTACTTACATAGTAATATTTAAAAATGTTGCTCAAAAAGTTCATTTTGTCTTTTTATTACTGTGAGTTGTAAGAGCAAGAGAAGTGAGTCACTGCCTTCTGAATCTTCAAGTGAGAAGCAGAAAGAGCAACATCAACTGGTCTCTGTCTGTACAAAGAACCCAAAAACTATTTATATGAGATATTTACACAAAGATATTATAATTGAGGACCTTTAAACTTTATTTTAAAACTTGATTGACAAATCTTAAAAAATGTTGGACCTCTGTGTACTACTGATAAATTCTGTGGGTCTACTGAAAGAAATTAAACCTTCAAATTGCAGGAAAAAAGCTGCGGCTTAGTTTGTAGTTTGTGGTCATTCTAGAATCTGACACTAACCAGAATTACCAGCACAGAGGTTTCAGCTGTGCTCCACCACAAACTATCGCGTTGTGATGTAACGTGAACAAACATCATATGTATATTTCCTGTGTATTCTGGTGATGCTCACCTGGTGTCTTCACCTGGTGTCTGTCTGCAGTGCAGCTCTCCTCTCCCTGGACTCAGGAGCAGAGACACCTGCTGCAGAGGAGGAGGGAGGGGCTGGGGGATAGAGGACTGTACCATCTGCACAGGTACACACACAACCACACACACACACACACACACATGCAGACACACATGACAGACAGACAGACACACACACTCACGGAGACACCTACTGTAGAGACGCTTTCTGGTCTCTTTCTGTTCTCTGGTTTCTCTCTCTGATTACACTCTCTGGTCCCTCTCTGGTCTCTCTCTGGTCCCTCTCTGGTCTCTCTTTGGTCCCTCTCTGGTCTCTCTCTGGTCCCTCTCTGGTCTCTCTCAGGTCTCTCTCTGGTCTCTCTCTGGTCCCTCTCTGGTATCTCTCTGGTCTCTCTCTGGTCTCTCTCTGGTCTCTCTCTGGTCTCTCTCTGGTCTCTCTCTGGTCTCTCTCTGGTCTCTCTCTGGTCCCTCTCTGGTCTCTCTCTGGTCCCTCTCTGGTTTCTCTCTGGTCTCTCTCTGGTCTCTCTCTGGTCTCTCTCTGGTCCCTCTCTGGTCTCTCTCTGGTCTCTCTCTGGTCTCTCTCTGGTCCCTCTCTGGTCTCTCTCTGGTCTCTCTCTGGTCTCTCTCTCTGTTCTCTTTCTGGTCTCTCTCTCTGTTCTCTCTTTCAAGTTAGAGCTGAGGTGTGTGGGGAGAGTGTGGAGGAGCAGAGGATCTACTCCGAGCTTCAGTAGTTTTTGTGTTTCAGACAAAGACAGCAGCCATAACTGTCCGACAGGATACGAGAGGGTGGACGGGAAGTGTGAAGGTGAGCACCTCCTGCAGGAGCCGGAAGGAAACACAACTGAAACTGACTCCTGTGTGACTGTGTGTGTCTGTGTACCCATGTGTGTACCCGTGTATGTGTACCTGTGTGTGTGTAGACATAAATGAGTGTGTAGAGAGAGATCTGTGTGTGAATGGTCTGTGTGTGAACACCAGGGGGAGCTATAGCTGTGTTTGTCCAGAGGGCTTCATCCTGGACGCCTCCCACGGCCTGTGTATCTGTGAGTAATGTGTGTACCTGTGTGTCTGTGCGTACCTGTGTGCATGTGTGTGTACCTGTGCGAGTATCTGTGCATGTGTACCTGTGTGCACGTGTGTGTATATCTGTGTCCATGCATGTACCTGTGTGTCTGTGTATGTGTGTATCTGTGTCCATATGTGTGTACCTGTGTGCATGTGTGTGTATCTGTGTCCATATGTGTGTACCTGTGTGCATGTGTGTGTATCTGTGTCCATATGTGTGTATTGGCTTCTAGGGGGCTTATTGAAAATGGCCGCGGGGGAAGGAAAATGTGAAAAAGGTATTTGCGCATGCGTTAGCCGGCACTAGCCCTATTCTTTTGACGGGTGCCTTCTGAAGTCCACAGCGGCTAAACTAGACTGGTCCAAAAAGATATACTCCCCTCAGCATTGACACACGTATGGAACGTAGCGTTGGGCCAAGAGCCGACTTTTTGGAGCCGACTTTTGGTGGTTAAGATCAGCTTTGGTGGTTAAGCTGATACACAGTGCAAACGGGTCCAAACAACCCGACTACCTTTACCTACAGTATGTTGTCCCTGGTTGACATTTGGACTTGGCCTCATAGTTCTTAGAAAAACTGCAGCCTAAATCCACATGGACTAGAGGTCTCACATAGTACTGCAGCCTACATCCACATGGACTAGAGGTCTCACATGGTACTGCAGCCTACATCCATATGGACTAGAGGCCACACATGGTACTGCAGCCTACATCCATATGGACTAGAGGCCACACATGGTACTGCAGCCTACATCCACATGGACTAGAGGTCTCACATAGTACTGCAGCCTACATCCATATGGACTAGAGGTCTCACATAGTACTGCAGCCTACATCCATATGGACTAGAGGCCACACATGGTACTGCAGCCTACATCCATATGGACTAGAGGCCACACATGGTACTGCAGCCTACATCCACATGGACTAGAGGTCTCACATGGTACTGCAGCCTACATCCATATGGACTAGAGGTCCATGTGGTCGTAGGTTCGAGCCCACCTCAAGACTTTCACCATAGACTCGCACTGACTACTGTCGTTGTGTCCTTGGCAAGACACTTAACCTCTGGGAAAACCCGATGCCACAGTGGGGCGGCTGCGGCTGTAAAGTGTCAAACTGCCGTTGTGTCCTTAGGCAAGACTCTTCACCCCCATTGCCTAGAATGAGTCTGGTGTGTGTGTGAATGGTTGGTGGTGGTCGGCACATGCTGGTTGCCTCGCTTCTGTCAGTGTGCCCCAGGGCAGCTGTGGCTACAGTAGTAGTTTATCACCACCGTGTTTGGAGTGAATGAATACTGACATGTGAAGCGTCTTTGAGTGTCCAAAAAAGCGCTATATAAAACTCATTCATTATTATGGAGGAGGATTTCCGTTTCTTTTTATCTTTGGAAATCCATTGTTTTTCTAGCTCCTGATTGGTTAGAATGCTCATATGTCTCTCTCTGTTCTCTTACTCTGGTGTCTCTCTGGTCTCCCTCACCCCCTGGTCTCTGGTCTTCAGCCCACAGAGTCATTTCAGAGGAGAAGGGCCAGTGTTTCCGCGTGGTCTCCTCTGGTTCCTGCTCTTTGCCCATCCTCCGCTCCATCACCAAACAGATCTGCTGCTGCAGTAGAGTGGGTAAGGCCTGGGGGCCGGACTGCCTCAGATGCCCCCCTTTCGGATCAGGTGAGAACTAAAGCTGGGGTCTGTAACTTTCAGACCCCGACAGTAGACCTCTTTATACAACACATGTCTCTAGTATCTGGATCTAAAACAGTAAACTGGTTTTCACTGGTCTTGGCCTTGGCCCTCAGCTGCCTTTAAGGAGACCTGCCCAGCTGGTCCTGGATACCATTACTCTGCATCCGCCCTGCAGTTCACACAGAGAGCCATCGAGCAGCTGGGCCACAGGGGGGCGCCACTGATACCATTCAACATCACACACACAGGTACCAGATGTCACCTCACACACTGTCTCTTTTCTTTCTCTGGTTTTTCTCTGGTTTCTCTCTGTGGTCTCTCTCTCCCTCTGGTTTCTCTCTGGTCTTTCTCTCTGGTCTTTCTCTCTGGTCTCTCTCTCTGATCCCTCTCTGGTCTCTCTCTGGTTCCAGACGTGACATCACACACATGGTTTATGGTCTGAATATAATTTTGTACCACTACTATTTATTTGACCAGTTTTGCTTCCTCCGTGTGATCCAGGTCTGAGTCTTGACCCAGACCCAGTCCAGACCAAACCCAGTCCTGATGCAGTCCAGACCAAACCCAGTCCTGATGCAGTCCAAACCAAACCCAGTCCTGATGCAGTCCAAACCAAACCCAGTCCTGATGCAATCCAGACCAGACCCAGTCCTGATGCAGTCCAGACCAGACCCAGTCCTCCTCTGATCCACACAAGTCCAAACAGACAGAATGCACCGGCCTCTCCACAGATCAGACCAGTCCCAGCCCAACCTGAGGCCAGAAGACCCTCTAGCCATGGCTCCTCCCCCTCCTCCTCCACCTCTGGGTCCACATCTCGGCAGGGTCAACAGAATCCAAGACAATCGCAGCCTCTTCTAGGTATGTAGGACTAACATACAGGGATATATTTGTGATGAAGCAGAACAAGGAACAGGATCATTTAAATATTTATAAATACACTATTTTTTTTCCAGGGGTCTCCCACACACCTGAGCAGACCAGATCCCGCCCCCACAGTCCGGTCACCACAACAACATCCAAGCCCCGCCCCCGCGTTACCACGACGACCACAAAGCCCCGCCTCCGGATCCCTGTGACCATCATGACCACGCGCCCCCCTGCAGTCCGTGGTGAGTACTGCGTGGTGAGGGACAAGATAGTGTGGCGGCCATCTTGTGTGTTGAAAACAGCAGATTGTAATGAGTGTGATGGCCATCTTGTGTGTTGGAATGTTGATTGTAATGAGTGTAGCGGCCATCTTGTGTGTTGAAAACAGCAGATTGTAATGAGTGTGATGGCCATCTTGTGTGTTGGAATGTTGATTGTAATGAGTGTAGCGGCCATCTTGTGTGTTGAAAACAAATGTAGAGAGCGACTTCTTGAGAAGTTTCTGCCACAACTTGAGACCCTGGAGCTTGGAGGCATCACCACACTACCACACTACTTTTGCACATGTATTCCATTGTGGTTTTACTGCAAATGGCAAATAAACTAAATCTAATGCTAATGCCAGTGCTAAAAATAATGCTAATGCGTAAGGCTACCTCAGATAATGACAGAGACCCGCCCCCTCCACAACATCTGCATGGGTAAACCAGTACAACCCCTAATGCTAATGCTAACTAAGACCAAGCCCCAAACTCAGACCTGATGCAGGATCTGAATCTGTTTTCAGTCTTGCCATATCTCTCTGAGCTCTGCCCCTTCACCCCACATAAGACATTTTGGCTCAGATGGACAGACATTTTGGCTCAGATGTGTTTGTTGCAGATGTGGATGAGTGTGCAGACCCCTCCCAGTGTCCAGGGCAGATGTGCCTGAACTCTGTGGGCTCCTACAGATGTGTATCCTGTCGCCATGGTTATAGACTCCTCAACCGCCAGTGCATTGGTAATTGCTCTGCTCTCTATGGTCTCTCTCACTCAGCTCGCTTTGTGGTCTCTCTGTAGTCTCTCTCTCTGCTCGCTCTGCGGTCTCTCTCTGGTCATTCGCTGCTTACAAATATACACACACACATAGCTCTAATGCGGTTTGAAAGTTACGTACCTCAGCTTTACGACATTCTGTTCCTCAGACGTCGATGAGTGTCGTCAGGCGCCCTGCACCAACGGACGCTGTGAAAACACACCAGGAAGTTACCGCTGCGTCTGTCACCAGGGTTACCGCCTCCTCAACAACACCTGCGAAGGTCAACCACCACTGCTAATGCTAGTGCTACTGTTTAATACATTTGTCAGGTGCAAACTACTTTTGCACATGTATTCCATTGTGGTTTTACTGCAAATGGCAAATAAACTGAATCTAATGCAAACGTCAGTGCTAACAATAATGATAATGCATAATGCTAACCTCAGATAAACACCAAGACCTGCCTCCTCCATAACATCTGCACGGGAAAACCAGTACAACCCCTAATGCTAATGCTAACGCAGACCAAGCCGCAAACTCAGACCTGATGCAGACCCAGACCGACATTTCAACACTGATCTGAATCTGTTATCAGTCTTGCCATATCTCTCTGAGCTCTGCCCCTTCACCCCACATAAGGACACATCACAAGACATTTTGGCTCAGATTGTGTTTGTTGCAGATGTGGATGAGTGTGCAGACCCCTCCCAGTGTCCAGGGCAGATGTGCCTGAACTCTGTGGGCTCTTACAGATGTGTGTCATGTCGCCATGGTTACAGACTCCTCAACCGCCAGTGCATTGGTAATCACTCTGCCCTCTGTGGTCTTTCTGTCTGGTCTCTCTGTGGTCTCTCTCTCTCTGCTCACTTTATGGTCTCTCTCTCTGGTCTCGCTGTAGTCTCTTTCTCTTCTCTTTCTGGGGTCTCTGTCTTGTCTCTGAGGTCTCTCTCTGCTCGCTCTGTGGTCTCTCTCTGGTCTTTCTCTGCTCGCTCTGTGGTCTCTCTCTGGTCTTTCTCTGCTCGCTCTGTGGTCTCTCTCTGGTCTTTCTCTGCTCGCTCTGTGGTCTCTCTCTGGTCTCTCTCTGATCGCTCTTTGGTCTCTGCTCTCTCTCTGGTCTCTCTCTGTGTTCTCTCTGTGTGGTCTCTCACATGGTATTGTTGCAGATGTAGATGAGTGTGAGGAGAAGGGGGCGTGTCCAGGACAGATGTGCATAAACTCTGAAGGCTCCTACAGCTGTGTGTCCTGTCGCCATGGTTACAGCTTAGTGGGTGGAGTCTGCACCGGTGAGAATACACACATACAGACAGGAGAAAGACCAGAGGAACCAGACATTTTGGAGACGGAGACCAGGGCGAGACTAGGAGGAGACTAGGGAGACTGAGACCAAGGGGTGAGCAGGGAGAGAGTACCAAGACTCAGAAAACGCTGATCTAAAGATGTGACAAAGGTTTTGCTAAGTTCATTTTGGCTCAGATGGACAGACATTTTGGCTCAGATGTGTCTGGTTGCAGATGTGGATGAGTGTGCAGACCCCTCCCAGTGTCCAGGGCAGACGTGCCTGAACTCGGTGGGCTCTTACAGATGCATGTCCTGTCGCCATGGTTACAGCCCACGCGACGGCTCTTGTCACGGTAACAAAACACGCAATACACCTTAATATATGAACGTGTGAAAAGAATGGGGCTCAATACTGACCCCTGTGGAACAGAAACCGAATTCCCTATGCAGCCACCAGAGGGAGCTAGAAACATGTGAGAGACCAGAGAGAGACCAGAAAGACACCAGAGAGACACCAGAGAGACACTAGAGAGAAACCAGAGGGAGATCAGAGAGCAAGATCAGAGAGACCAGAGAGAGAGAGAGAGAACGAGAGACCAGAGAGAGGGTTGTAGAGGGACCAGTGTCAGTGTGGTCCTCACATCAGGAGGACATTACTGAAAAAATCCTCAGGCTGAATTCTTTCACAGTGACGCAGCACAAATATATACAACCCTGATATTAAAGAGACATTAAATACGGCTTGTGTTCTAACTATAAACACCTTGGTTTATAGCTGGGGTCTGTAACTTTCAGACCAGCAGAACTCTGTAATTCAATCTGAAGAGACCAAAGACACGATAAATACATTAAAATGATTTATTTGTTTGGCGCATTGACCCCGGCAGTGACACTTGCAGCTATGAGATCGATTGCAGCTGAGATGATCTCAGATCCCCCGGGGTCAATCACTGGTGGTGGCTAGAGTATGGTGTGAATGGGGCGTAGGCGGAGCAGGAGCCGGAGTGGGAGCCTAGAGCGGGAGCCAGAGCGGGAGCCAGAGCGGGAGCCAGAGCGGGAGCCAAGAGCCAGAGGGGGTGCTGGGGAGGTGGTGGGTGTTTAAGAGCCTCAGGAAGCGTTGTTTGTCAGGAAGTGGCTGCCTTTTAAACTGCCCGCTTTGCTCTGAGAGGGTTGGCAGGAGGCTGGCCTGGCTGTGTGATTGGCTGAGGCTCGAGGCTGGCAGAGCTGTGTGATTGGCTGAGGCTCGAGGCTGGCAGGCACTCGGTCTTTCAGTCTGAACATCCGCTTGAGCTTCATTTCAATCTGAAGAGACCAAAGACACGATAAATACATTAAAATGATTTATTTGTTTGGCGCATTGACCCCGGCAGTGACACTTGCAGCTATGAGATCGATTGCAACTGAGATGATCTCAGATCCCCCAAAAGAGGAAGCCACGCTATGTGTGCCGGGGAATGCGCAGGCCTCCCGTGGGAAGCTGCCTATCTGGAGGCGTGGGAGCCTTGCATAGGGGCAGCATTGCATAGGGGCAGCATTGCATAGGGGCAGCATTGCATAGGGGCAGCATTGCGTAGAGGCAGCATTGCGTAGAGGCAGCATTGCGTAGAGGCAGCATTGCGTGGAGGCTGCATTGCGTGGAGGCTGCATTGCATAGATTGCATGGAGGCAGCATTGCATAGATTGCATAGAGGCAGCATTGCATGGAGGCAGCATTGCATAGAGGCAGCATTGCATAGATTGCATGGAGGCAGCATAGCCTGGAGGCAGCATAGCCTGGAGGCTGCTTTGCATGGAGGCTGCTTTGCATGGAGGCTGCTTTGCATGGAGGCAGCATAGCCTGGAGGCAGCATTGCATGGAGGCAGCATTGCCTGGAAGCAGAATTGCATGAATAGGATACAGAGAATATGCGGGGGTGACAAATCCGCACGCTCTGTAATGATTATGCGTGTATGAAGCGTTGGCCCTTGGAGCGTGCGGAGGGTTTCTCGCGCACAGACCGCTTCGTGAGGGTGCATGTATGACGTAGGCCGCAGGGGATCTGTGGGAACAGACACTCACTGAATGAGCGGCTATGTGATCATGCGTGCGTGATGGATGCATGAAGTGAAGAGTAAATGCGTGTAATCGCAGAGCTGATGCGGGCTCTGCGTGTTGAGAATGTGGAGCAGCAATGTAGAGAGCTTTCTCATACAAGATCTGCTATATTTGAGCATGCGTGTGTCAGCGTATGATACAGAGAATATGCGGGGGTGACGAGTCCGCACGCTCTGTAATGACTATGCGTGTAGAAGCGTGGGCCCTTGGGGCGTGCGGAGCTGCCTCTCGCGCACAGGCCGCTTCGTGAGGTGCGTGTATAGCGTGAGCCGTAGGGGGTTATGCAGAGAAGCTTCTCTGCACAGAGCGCTGCGGTGAGCATGAATGTATGATGTAAGACAAGGTGATCATATGCATGTCCGGATTGAAGTGCAACAGATGTTGAGAATGCTTATGTGAGAGAAGAGCCTTAGCCACCACCAGAGTATTTGATAATTACCTCAGATTGAAGAGGGAGCGCTGAGCAGTCAGAATAGTGTCAGTGTTTAGTCTGATAGAGGATGAGGCAGGACCAAGCCGTGGACCATTGACCCATTTGCTGTAGGGAAGAGTGAGGAAGGCCCAGCAGGCTGGAGTGCGGCGGCTATTCTAATCCAGCGGCCGGTATTGGAGAATCGGGAGATCACAGGAGACCGGCCGGATTTATTAAATGGGCTTGGATGCATTGCGCAAACATGTCATTTGACAGAGAGAGAAATGGTAGCCCATCTGAATCTCCTCTCCGTGCATGGAGGAGTGCATTTCATCAGGTGTTTATCTGGACAGGGGAAAAATAATGCATAACGAAAGTGTGACGGCACCTTCCTTTTGGAGTGTTGAATGCAGGGATTATAGTGATAGGGGTAATAAGTCCTTGGGGCCAGGGTGCAGCTAACCACTGGCCTTGATATGACCCCCAAAAACCCACGGACTGAGCCGCGTCCGTGAAAAAGAAATAAGTAAGTGGAAGAGGCGGTGCCATCATGAAAGACGCCGTTCTGGCAGGCAGCAGCTGAAGCTGAGGTCAGCGCAGCACCTGCGAACAGGAAAACAGGGTTGCAGAGCGCGCAGGAGCCTGGGGATGAACCACGGCCTGAGGAATGACGTGCACTGCGAGGATGAGGCGGCCCAGCCGGAAGAGCAGCACCTGTTTGGGACGTGACAGAGGACAGGACGGACCAAGAGACCTTGGTCCTCCTCCTCCTATCCTCTCTCTCTCCATGTCCAAGCTGAGGGAGCATCTACGAAACCTTCGATGAGGGTCATCACGTGCGCCGGGTGGCCAGTGTGACGGCCAGACGCCTGCCCGGCTTGAGATGGACGAGCCCCGCGTAGGAAGGGCATGCCCCGCGCGGGAATGACAGGGCCTATTGCTACGAGAATAATTCGCAAGGCGCGGCCGTGCAGCAAGAGCGCCCTGCAACATAAGGGAGAGATTAAACAAGAACCGACCGAATCTCCTTCTGGACAGGAGAGCGCTATCTTGATGCAATTAGGAAACTCAGAACGACGGCAAAGAGCGGCCACGGAGCAGAATAAGTACGAACAGAGCGGCACCTGAGAACGAGCAGTAGAGCGAGCAACCGTTACGATGACTCAGAGCCATGAGAGTGCGGCAGAGAGCATGTGACCGTTGTGGATGCTGCCCCCCGACTCCACGCGGAGAATCGGAGAGAGATCGCCCGTATGAGGCGCAGGGCGGATCAATGCACGCGGTAGCAGTGAGGGAAGGCCAGAGCACGTGGAGGATCCGGAGCAAACCGGCCGGACGAGGGGAGAACATGCAAAACTCCGCACGGAGGTGGAACATACATAAAACTACTTTTGATAATCGACACCAGCCTGCTCAGGATAAAATGAAACTCACTGCTAATGACCTGGGGCAACGCGTCCCTATGAGCAATATTTACTGTACGCGGAGGGGGCTCGAGGATTTCAGTACGAGGGCCGCTTCAGTCCGCCAGACTAGTCCCGGGGCCGACACGTAGGCGAAACCGCATTGGACTGGTCCGAACTTTAGGACAAACTATGAAAGAACTGAAGTTGGCTGATGACGACCTCCTGTCGTCTCGCTAGCTACAGATTAGCGGAGATTCGAGCCCGACCGGGAACAACAACATCTCAGAACGGGTTACGACACGTCTATATTGGCTGCGCTGAAGTAGAATGGACGACACCGAATAAGTATTTACGAACCCAGATTCCCTTGGCCTCAGTTGGAACAGGTTGTCTTTTAACGGAATAGCCCGACGACCAGCGAAGGTAACTCACATCATTCATTGCAAAGCATCTAATCATAATTACGATTAAACTACGGAAAGTTTGACGAGAGCAGAGACAGCCCTGATGAGAACTGAGCGAAGCGAGCTTAAGACTATAAAACACATACGCATATACATATACATAATATATATGCACGCACGTATACTACGTACCTACATGTGCATGCACATATACAAGTAGAGTCCCTCCATGGCCTCGCACCAACATATAGTAGTGACATGTTAGTCCCATATGAACCAGCCCGGACTCTGAGGAGCACAGGGACTGGACTCCTGTTAGTGCCCAGAGTCAGAACTAACGTGGGTAGGCTGCCTTTCAGATTCATGCTGCTAAAATCTGGAACAGTCTTCCTGAAGATGCGAGACAGGCCTCCTCTCTGACAATGTTTAAGACAAGGTCAAAACATATATTTCTATCCTTCTTTTTAATGTTCTGTGAATATCTATGATTTTAATGCTTTCTTATTTTGTTCAGCACTTTGAATTGCCTTGTGTATGAATTGTGCTATACAAATAAACTTGCCATGCCTTGCTATACAACATGCATTCACATACGCCATTATGCGCGTGACAGGGCCATGAAGCTAAACGCACTTTCTTCACCTTATGGGAGCGTCCAAATCAGACAGGCGTCAAACTGCAGATTCCTCTTCACCCTGAGCGAGCAATATTACATTAGGCCTTTGTCTAGGGAGCAACCAAATCAGAGAGGCGCCAAAACTGCAGATTCCTATTCACCCTGAACGTGCAATATGTCGTTAAGCCTCGGAGACCGATACATTAAGCCTTAATACGAACAATTCGGGCCTTAGAAGGAGACTGATTAGGGAAGACTCCAAAATGTAATTTTGCATGCCACCAAGCACGCTGGAGTTTGAACTGTCTCACGGAGGAGACTTGAGCAGCAGTGACACGGAGCCTGGACGTGTTTAAGGAGCGGCGCCAATAAGCACTGACGAGCAGATCAGAGCGGGTCAAAGCAGGAACAGACCCCAAACAAACGATGGCACGGGACAATCACGGGCCCGGGACAAGCACGTACGACGCAACCACAATTCGATTCATACGAACAAACAGACCATGTCACGCCAGCGTGCGCCGCTTGTCTCTGTGAGCACATACGTGTCTGAAAGAGCCGAGCCGTAGGTGCAGCCTGGGAGCCCGCGGAGCGGCAGTGGCAGGAACAGCAGCAGCGGCACGTGTAGTAGTAGGAGCAGCAGGAGCAGGCAGCAGCAGGAGCGGCAGCAGGAGCAGGCAGCAGCAGGAGCGGCAGCAGGAGCAGGCAGCAGCAGGAGCGGCAGCAGGAGCAGGCAGCAGCAGGAGCGGCAGCAGGAACAGGCAGCAGCAGGAGCGGCAGCAGGAGCAGGCAGCAGCAGGAGCGGCAGCAGGAACAGGCAGCAGCAAGAGCGGCAGCAGGAGCAGGCAGCAGCAGGAGCGGCAGCAGGAGCAGGCAGCAGCAGGAGCGGCAGCAGGAGCAGGCAGCAGCAGGAGCGGCAGCAGGAACAGGCAGCAGCAGGAGCGGCAGCAGGAGCAGGCAGCAGCAGGAGCGGCAGCAGGAACAGGCAGCAGCAGGAGCGGCAGCAGGAGCAGGCAGCAGCAGGAGCGGCAGCAGGAACAGGCAGCAGCAGGAGCGGCAGCAGGAGCAGGCAGCAGCAGGAGCGGCAGCAGGAGCAGGCAGCAGCAGGAACAGGCAGCAGCAGGAGCGGCAGCGGAACAGGCAGCAGCGGGAACAGGCATCAGTAGGAGCAGCAGGAGCAGGCAGCAGGAACAGGCTGCGGCAGGAGCGGCAGCAGGAACAGGTAGCAGCAGGAGCGGCAGCGGAACAGGCATCAGTAGGAGCAGCAGGAGCAGGCAGCAGGAGCAGGCAGCAGGGACAGGCAGCGGTAGGAGCAGCAGGAGCGGCAGCAGGAACAGGCAGCAGCGGGAACAGGCATCAGTAGGAGCGGCAGGAACGGGGAGCAGGCATCAGTAGGAGCAGCAGCGGCAACAGGCATCAGTAGTAGCAGCAGGAACGGAGAGCAGGCATCAGTAGTAGCAGCAGGAACGGGGAGCAGGCATTAGTAGGAGCAGCAGGGACCGGCAGCAGCGGCGGTCAGAGAACCATGCCCATGGTTGTTTAAGAGCCTCAGGAAGCGTTGTTTGTCAGGAAGTGGCTGCCTTTTAAACTGCCCGCTTTGCTCTGAGAGGGTTGGCAGGAGGCTGGCCTGGCTGTGTGATTGGCTGAGGCTCGAGGCTGGCAGAGCTGTGTGATTGGCTGAGGCTCGAGGCTGGCAGGCACTCGGTCTTTCAGTCTGAACATCCGCTTGAGCTTCATTAAACCCATGTTTCTGGTTCTGGCTCTAAAACAGTTGCTTATGTCACTAGTTTAATGTGTTTCTGTCACATCTTTAGATCAAAGAGAGGACCACCCTCTCTCAGCAAATCAGCTCTCAGCCCTATAAGGCAGATATTGACAGGGCTCTGTCTAACAAGTATGCAAAAATGATAGATGTCCTAGTTTCACAGAAGACTCAATATATATTTTCCCACTCTCTGACCTATGTGTGTCTCATCTCGGTCTCGTTTTGGACTTCTCTTGCCCTAGTGTTGGCCTCAGTCTCGGTCTCAGTACTGGGTGTCTTCTTCTCACTCTCTACCTCAGTCTCTGTCTCGCCTTGTCTATAGTCTCGGTCTCAGTCCTGTCTCGGTATTGGTTTTGTCTTTGTCTCAGTCTCAGTCTCAGTCCTGGCCTCAGTCTGAGTCTCATGTCAGTCCTGGGTGAATGTGTTGTTCTGGTCTTCCTCCGGCAGACATCGACGAGTGCCAGCAGAGCGCCTCCCTGTGCTCAGGAGGAGACTGTGTGAACTCTCCAGGCTCCTACAGCTGCATCTGTCATCAGGGCTTCAATCTGAGCCCCAACAAGACCAGCTGCAGAGGTGTGACTATGTGTATGTGTGTGTGTGTGTGTGCGCGCACTTGGTGGCTCAGTGGATAGCACTCTCGCTTCTCAGCAAGAGGGTCCTGGGTTCTAATCCTGGTCGTAACAGGGTCTTTCTGAGTGGACGGCTAGATGCATGCTGCAAAAGCAGGAGATCAGATTCATTGAACATCCTTGCTCCATGCACGTCCAGCAACCAATCAGAGAGCAGCAAAGTGGTCACGGGGAAACAAGCCGGTCAAAACAGGAAGATGAAGGCACTTCATGTGGAATTTCTGCTCAGGCCGAGAGCAAAAATAATGTAAACAACCAAGAGCTGTAATACAATCAAAGTGTGAGTTTATTCATTTGTAAATGTGCACATATACAATGAATAACAGAACCGATACCACCTGGCAGCCGTCTGCCACAAATGGGGAAATTACGGACATGAAATAGACTAGAGTAAACAAAGACATACAGTGGGGCAAAAAAGTATTTAGTCAGCCACCGATTTTGCAAGTTTTCCCACTTAAAATAATGACAGAGGTCTGTAATTTTCATCATAGGTACACTTCAACTGTGAGAGACAGAATGTGAAAAAGAAATCCAGGAATTCACATTGTAGGATTTTTAAAGAATTTATTTGTAAATTATGGTGGAAAATAAGTATTTGGTCACTTCAAACAAGGAAGATCTCTGGCTCTCACAGACCTGTAACTTCTTCTTTAAGAAGCTCTTCTGTCCTCCACTCGTTACATGTATTAATGGCACCTGTTTGAACTGGTTATCTGTATAAAAGACACCTGTCCACAGCCTCAAACAGTCAGACTCCAAACTCCACTATGGCCAAGACTAAAGAGCTGTCGAAGGACACCAGGAAAAGAATTGTAGACCTGCACCAGACTGGGAAGAGTGAATCTACAATAGGCAAGCAGCTTGGTGTGAACAAATCAACTGTGGGAGCAATTATCAGAAAATGGAAGACATACAAGACCACTGATAATCTCCCTCAATCTAGGGCTCCACGCAAGATCTCATCCCGTGGGGTCAAAATGATCATGAGACCGGTGATCAAAAATCCCAGAACCACACAGGGGGACCTGGTGAATGACCTGCAGAGAGCTGGGACCAAAGTAACAAAGGTTACCATCGGTAACACACTACGACGACAGGGGATCAAATCCTGCAGTGCCAGACGTGTCCCCCTGCTGAAGCCAGAGCATGTCCAGGCCCGTCTGAAGTTTGCCAGAGAGCACATGGATGATACAGCAGAGGATTGGAAGAATGTCATGTGGTCAGATGAAACCAAAGTAGAACTGTTTGGTATAAACTCAACTCGTCGTGTTTGGAGGAAGAAGAATACTGAGTTGCATCCCAAGAACACCATACCTACTGTGAAGCATGGGGGTGGAAACGTCATGCTTTGGGGCTGTTTTTCTGCTAAGGGGACAGGACGACTGATCCGTGTTAAGGAAAGAATGAATGGGGCCATGTATCGTGAGATTTTGAGCCAAAACCTTCTTCCATCAGTGAGAGATTTGAAGATGAAACGTGGCTGGGTCTTCCAGCATGACAATGATCCCAAACACACCGCCCGGGCAA